TTTTGGGCGTGTTTGGGCAAATTTTTTGAAATAAATGAGCCTCTGATTTAAAAACGAAAGAAGTTGAGAAAAACAAGCAAAAAAATCAATTTCGAATCAATTTTGTTATTTTTAGCCTGTTTAAACACAATTTTCGATTTTTTTAAATTTTTATCTCAAAAACGTGCTTAAACACCCGAAAAAGACAAAAATAACACCTTTTTTGGTCTATTTTGTTAAATTTTTGACATGTTTGTAATGAAATTTGGTAATTGTGTTTCTAGCTGAAAAATGTGCTGCCTAAAGCATTCGAAAAAAGCAAAAAGTAAATTGTTAGTCTCGACCCTGTTTAGTATTTTACTAAAAAAAACATTTCTCTATTTTTTTAAAAAGATTTGACAAAAGATCAAGTTCCTGGTTGAAAAAGGTTGGAAAACGCTCGAAACAGTTTCAAAATTAATATTTGTTGTAACCAGAGTTCCAACAGTTTTTTTTTTCATTTCCAAAAATTTTTTTAAGAAAAACAAAATCGGAAGGACAGAAAAAATTTCCAATTTTATATCTGTGGATCCTAAATAACAAAAAAAAATTGTTTCAACCAATGATATTAAAAAAATAACACGATTCTTTTAATATAATTACATTTAATCTAGCTTTTGATAATAAACAATAAACTGTGATACGATTTTTTTCTAATTTAGCTAAATATTATGGTCATTGGTAAAAAATTTTACTACTTGAACATTATTGCGCTTTTTTCTTTTTTAAAATCCTATTTTTAAAATCAAGTTCTTGCTACATTCAGAGACAATGTTTCCCAAGCTTGTTAGTTTTTCGAACTCGACTTCATTAAAATATCTCGCTCCAAAAAAGGCTAATTGTGACATATTTATTATCAATATTATATTTTTCTAATTACTGGAATRAACCATTTCGGGTAACGTTGACCACCTTGACGACCCGATCTAATGCAAACAAATCGCTTTTTGCTAAAATTGACAATTTCAAAAGCACAAGTTATGACCCAACGACCCCAAACATCTGCCAAGAGGGTGCCAGGTATCGCAGCAGGTGCTATCATAAACCGAAAACTAGATCTTGACCGTTGAGAGATGAACTCAAATTCCCTTCTCCGACAAGTGTTCTAAACAATACAATTAATCGAACAACAACAAAATTTTAAACGCTATTAATCCCAGTTGAAAAATTTTAAGCCGATTTAAGCCTCCTGAACGCAATGAAACAGGTTCTCTGGAGGAAAATCAGACAGTTTTATAGAAAAAAAAAAACTCAGAGGATTATTTTTTCCAAAATTTGAAATGATCTCATTTTGAACTCACTTAAGTCACATTTCGTGTTTGTTAATCCGGTAAAAGGGCACAACACTGGTTCACCTTAGCATAAACAAAGATGCGGCGACAGGTAGAACTTACTCACAACCCAACTACCGGCACCGTTCAAGGTAAACTAAACCGACTCGAGAGTCAACAGTTGAAACGAGTTATGCACCGACTAAGCGTAAAAATGCGAGCTTTTCATTGGCCGGAACCGTTGCTGTCTCCAATTTCGTACTGTGAGGATTTTCGAAAAAGTCTACGACCTACGTTTAGTGCGTCAGAGCCCTACGAGCTTTTTTCACGTGAATTATTCAATGTTATTGACATTTACCGCCATGAAACATTGAACTTATGGTAGGACTTATCAAATATGTAAATGGAGATGGCGTCACAGCTTGGCATCGATTATTTATTATTTAATCCTTTTTATGTGGTTATTTTCATCTCCAAGTTACGAACTTTCTAATGATGTGATTGATGCCAGCGTTTATTACGCTTCTTATTAAGGTTTTAAGCTTTTAAGTTCAAAATATATTTATCCGCAAACGTCACAAAAGTGCCTCAAGTCATAAAAATTCTATCATCAGCATTCGACATTTTGCACTACTAACTGCACTAGTTAAGATAATAAACACGAAAATCTCAACACAAATTTCGATACTGACTCGTGATGTTGTTTATAGGCGTTGCAAAGTGTGATTATTTTGTTCATTTACTTGCTAATTATAATGTTGCTCTTTACTCTCGATTTGGATACGTTTGCGGATAAAACTGTATGTTATTAGGACTAATAAGCTGAATCTTTATTTTTTTCCAAACGCAGTGAGGCAAATAATTCAACTTTTACTCCTAATACATAACATACTATTAAAAATTTTGAGGATTAATTGTGTTTCTAACTGGAAAACGTGGTAAAATGCTCGAGAAATGCAATTTTCGATTTAATTTGTTGATTTTTTGGTTGTTTTAGAAACCTAAGGTTTTAGAACAATTTTTGAGCAAATTCTGTAATTCTTGGCTTATTTTTTGTCTTCATTTTGAAAAAATCGAGTGAAACAAACAAAATATGTGATTTTTAGGGGTGCTTGGTCAATATTTGTCAAAATAAATGAGCCTCTGATTCAAAAACGAAGAAACCAAGACAAACAAGCAAAAAAATTATAGCAATTTCGAATCAATTTTGTATTTTTGTAGCCTGTTTAAATTTTCCCTTTTTTATTTTTATTTCAAAAACGTACTTAAACTCTCAAAAATGCAAAAATAACAAATAACATAATTGCGCTTTTAGCTGAAAAAACGTGTTAAAACGCTCGAGAAATTCAACAATTATAAAATTTTTGACTTAATTTATTGATATTTTTGGTTCATTTTAGCAAAATCTCGCGAAAAACCTGAGGTTTTGGCACAAAAACGTGCTCACCACAAATTTTGTATTTTCTTGACTTTTTTGTCTTAATTTTGCTCAAAAAACAATTAAATCAAAAGAAACAAAAAAAAACAAAAATATCAATTCTTTTTATGATTGTCAGGTGTGTTTAGATAAGATTTTGCAAAATAAGTGAGTCTTTGGGTCAAAAACGAAGTAAGCCGAGCAAAACAAGCTAAAAATAATATCTATTTTCGTAATTTCGTAATTTTTTAGTGAGTTTAAACAATTTTTTTTTTGTTTTTGTCGCAAAAACGTTCTTAAACACTCAAAAAATTCAAAAATAATACCATTTCTGGTTTTGTTGAATTTTTGGCTTGTTGTTAACAAAATTTTCCATGCAAATGCAAAAATAATATAATTTTCGATTTAATTTGTTGATTTTTTGTCTTCATTTTGAAAAAATCGTATGAACCAAACAAAATATGTGATTTTTAGGTGTTTGAACAAAATTTTTTAAAATAAATGAGCCTCTGATTCAAAAACGAAAAAAGTCGAGAAAAACTAGCAAAAAAATTATATTAATTTTGAATCAATTTTGTATTTTTAGCCTGTTTAAACAAGGTTTTCGATTTTTTTTATTTTTATCTCAAAAACGTGCTTAAACACCCGAAAAAGACCAAAAAAACACCTTCCTTCTTGCGTTTCTAGCTGAAAAATGTACTCACCATTCGAAAAAAGAAAAAATAAATTGTCAGTCAAATTTAGTGGTTTTTCAATTTTTTTAAGAAAAATTTAACAAAAGAATCAAGTTGCTGAGTGAAAAATGGGAAAATGCTCGACACAGTTTCAAAATCAAATTTTTTAATTTCCAAATTTCTTGTTAAGCTTCAGTTTATTGCAAGTTTGATTCAAAATACCATTTACCTGCAAACGTCACAAAAGTGACCACTTTTATGGCTCAAGTCACAGCCATGGAGTAAAAATTCTATTTTTGCGCATAAGCTTTTTTAATTTTTGTCATGACATTATGTTGTTACTTTCGCTGCTTCAGCAATTTCTGGAAGTTACATTGTAACTTAAAAAATCTCAACACAAATTTCGATACTGATGATGTGTGTTTATAAGCTTTGCTATGATTTCATTACTTGCAAAGCGTGATTATTTTGTTCATTTACTTATAATTATAAGTAGTGATGCTCTTTACTTTCGATCTGAATACGTTTGCGGATAAAACAGTATGTTATTCGGACTCCAAATGAGTTTATGTGGGGAAGCTAAACGTTTATTTTGCCAAACGCAGTGAGGCAAATAATTCAAATTTTACTACTGATAGCAAAATATGTTATTAAATGGTTTAATTTTGTATGTGGAGAAGGAAAACATAAAAAACGGCTGGTTAAATTTGTTTTATTGGAAAAATAATAACAGTTTCATTTTGTACATCACTAAATACAATTGTAAAACCTATTCACCTACCACGTTCGGAAGCATCATTAAAAGACGTAACTTTAAATCCAAACCAAAAAGTTGCATCTTAAAATCATGCCGTCAAATAAATAAATTAACTAAATTAGTAAATTATGGTAAATTGATTACACTATTACTATAAATAAGTTTGTCGGTATTTTTTGATTTCATCAAAAATACACAGCCTTGATTAGAGAAAAATGAGATTGGAAAGTGTAGTAGCTTTTATAAATAATGAAAACTAATCTAATAAACTTCCGAAACGACTGGTAGGTGTTACCCGAGACCCAAAACATACTTAGGTAGCTGAATTGTGAGCCGTGGAATGGACCACAAGACGGACATCCTAAAAAACAATAAATTTAATTAAAAAAATCTAAATTATTTCTAACAATTAGTCACCGACACCTGAAAAAATCGAAACCTTACCTCCGAAAAGTCATCGAAGATGAAGTTGTCCCTACACCACTCTACGAGAAAAGATTAAAAGAATAAGAATAGTAGAACTACAGGTTTCTAGATAAGAAACAATTGTGTTAATTTTAAGCGAAATCTGGAAAATTTTAAACAAACATATTTTTACTCACGACACTGAAATTGTGTTGTAAAACCACTCCCTCCACGTGGTGTTGGTTGATGAATCTATCCGAGATTCGATCGACTGACAGAGATTTTTCCTGTCGTGTGACCTGCCCGAATGTAGATCACAGAGAATTTTTTTCTTGCATGACATGTCGCACGTGGGCCTCACGGGACTCGCCTTGTAGTAATATCTGAAAAGTAATTAGTTTTAACACGCAATAGTGGAGATTCCACCTTCCAATGTCAAAAATTTATGTTTTTTTTAGATAAACTGAGTAGTTAAAAGTTAAAGAGTTAGGCAAAAATACGACATCTTTTTTTATAACAATTTAGTGATTTTTGACTCGGAATGGCAAAAACTCGCGAAAAAACGGAGTTTTCAGCTTAAAAATCTGCTTAAGCCCCTGAAAAAGGCAAAGATGGGATCATTCTGTGATCTTACGGCTTGTTTTTGACAAAATTTTGCGAAATAATTGCGTTTCAAACTGAAAAATGTGTTAAAACGTTCTACAAATGCAGACATTGTTAATTTTTGTTTTGTTTTAGAAAAATCTCGGGAAAAACTTGAGATTTGTATGCAAAAACGTACTTAAAAGCATTTTCGCCCAAATTTTCTGGTTTCTCGGTTTATTGTCTTACCTTAATTTTGCTCAAAAACGAGTTAAAGCGAGAAAAACAGCAAAATAATTTTCCAACCAGGTATAAAAACTAAACGCCAAATTTGAAGCCTGAGGAAGGATACAATAAAGGTATCGAAACGTCGAGACGAATTTAATGTTTTTATTTATTGTCCTGTATACCATCTTCGACGAAGTCAAGCAACAATATTTCAAGGACAAGCAACACAAAATGGAGAAACAAAATAACATCAATATCATTTTTTTGTGATTTTTAGGCGTGTTTGGACAAGGTTTTGCAAAAAAAATTAGTCTAGTTCAAAAACGAAAAGAGTCGAGTAAAAAAAGATACAAATATTATCAATTTTAATTTAATTTTATAATTTTTTAGGGTGTTTAAACAAAATTTTTCAATTTTTTTCTGTTTTTATGCTTAAACACTCGAAAAATATCAATTTTTGGATTTTTGGCTTGTTTAAAAAAATTTGCGAAATAATTGAGTTTCTAGCTGGAGAACGTGCTAATATCGAGCAATTCGAAAATAATATAATTTTCGATTTGACTTATTGCTATTTTAGTTATTTTTGCAAAATCTAGCAAAAAACCAGAACTTTTAGTACAGTTTTTGAATAAATTTTGGCTAATTTTTTGTCTTAATTATGCTGAAAAATTCGAGTGAAACAAACAAAATAACATCAAATGAATTCTTGTTATGATTTTTTAGACTTGTCTGGACAAAATTTTCCAAAATAAATTCAAAAATGAAGTCATTCGAACAAAAATATCACCAATTTCAATTCAGTTTTGTAATTTTTTATTCTATTCAAACGCAATTTCAAAAAATAATAAAAAAACTCGATTTAATTTTGAAAATTTTTAACCTGTTTAAACGAAATTTTTCGAAATTTTTTTCGAAAAAGGCAAAAATAACACAGTTTTTGACCAATTTTGTTCATTTTTGGCTTGTTTTAATTAAATAATTGCGTTTCTAGCTGAAAAACGAGTTAAAACTCACAAGAAATGCAAAAATAATATAACTTTGGTTTTATTTTGTTGATTTTTTGGTTTGTTTTTGCAAAATCTCGCAAAAAGACTAATATTTTTGAGTTAAAAGCATTATAAATTTATTTTTGTGGTTTCTTAGCTTATTTTTGTTTAAATTTTACTCAAAAACAGCCAGATTTTTGTACAAAAACGTCCTAAAAGCCTTGTCGACCAAATTTTGTGGTTCTTAGGCTTATTTTTGTCTTAATTTTGCTTAAAAAAACAAAACAACATCAATATCAATTCTTTTTGTGATTTTTAGGCGTGTTTTCAAAACAAATAAGCCTCTGACTCAAAAACGAAGTAAAGTCGAGCGTAACAAGCGAAAAATATAAAAACTTCTATTTGATTTTTAAATTTGTTTCGTTTGTCTCAAAATCTTACTTAAACACTCGAAAAAGGCAAAAATAACACCATTTTTGGTTTGTTTTCAACGAAATTTTGCAAAATAATTGCGTTTCTAGATGAAAAAACAACTTAAAACGCTCGAGAAATGCAAAGTTGTTGGGAAATCTCGCAAAAATCTGAGGTTTTTGTAGTTTTTGTTCATTTTCGATCTAAGTTTACTCAAAAACCAGTCAGATTTATGTACAAAAACGTCCTAAAAAGCCTTGTCGACCAAATTTTGTGGTTCCTTGGCTTATTTTTGTTATAATTTTGCTTAAAAACAAACAAAATAGCATTAATATCAGTTTTTTTGTGATTTTTAGGAGTGTTTGGACAAGATTTTGCAAAATAAGTGAGTCAAGCAAATATAGTACCAATATCGATTCAGTTTTGTAGTTTTTTAGTGTGTTCAAAAAATAACCTCGTTTTTGGCCTGTTTTGATGAATTTTGGTTTGCTTTTAACGAAAATTTGCAAAAAAATGTGTTTCTAGCCGAAAAATCTAAATAATTGAAAAATGAATGTATTATTTTTTTGTTTTATGTTTTTTTCATTTCCAAGAAATCACCTGAAATAAAATAATTTTTACAAAAGACCAGCATGAAAATCCCCACATTTGGCGAAATTTCACGCGACCTGGCAACACTACCATTCACGTGATCAAACGGACCAATCACAAGCAAGGAAAATGACGAAAAAAATGAAAACTCAAAATTTCAATTTATGATTTTTTTATAACAAGACCTCATACGCTTGTGCAAAGCCTACTTACTTGTAAAACAATTCGAACAGTTTCGGGTCATTTGTCATTTTTTCAATCAAAGAGTCCCAATCACTAGGTCGAAGAGCATCCATACCAAAGGCTTGCCTGGCTGAGTATAATTTAAACCAAATTGGATAACCGTACAAATTGGCCTCGCGTAGATTCATAGTCCATGATTCGTGATCAATCACAGACTAAAAGTCACAAAAAAATACATTTCCCAAAATTTTGCAAAATTTTCACTTACTCTTGTAGACTTGTCGTGATCACCATCCACGTAGTAAATCCTATAACCCGGGTTTAAGTCGTAGTAAGGTGAAACGGAAGGCCCAACATAAGCCACATTATTTGATCTAGCTACAATTGCAAATTTATAAAATTTAAAAACGCAAATTATCAATTGGTTAAGTACTTAAATCCTTGTGGTCGTAGAAAACCTCAAATTCGTCAAAATGCGTATGTCCGAAGAACTGAGCGGTGATTGTGGCCTCATATCTGTTAACAATCGCGTAATAATTACGCGACCACACTTTCAAGCAATCCGAATGACCCGGAGGAATGTGACCTTGATGAAAAATTGTTAAAAAACGGACAAAAAAAAAAACTGAACCAAGCGAGGGGTAACCCGCTGGTCAAAAAGTATACACATACATCAATATTATTTATATAAATCTAATTAAATCCAAATAAATCCAACTAAATTTAAACAGGGTGTCCCTCCTAATTGAAAAAGTCCATTAGTGACCTTTAAATGGTGAAATTAAAAAAATGTATAGGACATTGATAGATACTTTTGGATGTAGCCTTTTAAAACAATGTTTTTAGGCTAAACTTTTATTAGTCGATTTCGCTTAGTTTTAGGTTTTTGACGATAACATGCACTTTTTCAAAATTTATTATTACACAAAAACTAAGACAACTAGAAGAAATTTTTCTTACTTCTGCAAAGAAGAAAGTACAGAATTTAAAGATGTAGCAATTTTTTACTGTTTTGCATTTATAAAGATTAATAAATTAAGAAGTTTGTAAAATCGAATTGCTTTATTTCAGCTTAAAATTGAGATTGAAGCAAGTATTTTTATAAAATACATTAATTTCCAATTAATTCTGTATTAAAATCGAAAAATTTTAAATTGAAAATAGCTCAAATTGCTTTATTTTGGAAAAAAACTTCTATTCAAGTCAGTATTTGGTTCAAATACTTTGATTCAGGTTGATTCCCAACTTAAAATTGAGAGAAATCGATTGAAAATATCACAAATTGCTTTATTTCAGCCTAAAATCGAGATTGAAGTAATTATTTTTATAAAATACATCAATTTCGAATTAATTATGTATTAAAATCGAGAAAAATTAAATTGAAAATAGCTCAAATTGCTTTATTTTGAAAAAAAACCTCTTATTTAAGCCAGTATTTGGTTGAAATACTTTGATTCAGGTTGGTTTCCCGGTTTTAAATTGAGCCAAATCAATTGAAAATATCACAAATTGCTTCAATGTAACCCAAAAATTGGGATTGAAGCAATTATTTTTATAAAATACATTAATTTTGAATTAATTCTGAATTAAAATCGAGAAAAAAAAATGAAAATAGCTCAAATTTCAGCCAAAAATTGGAATTGAAGCAATTATTTTAATAAGAAACATTAGTTTTGAATTAATTCTGTATTGAAAACGAGCAAAATTAGATTGAAAATAGATCAAATTGTTTTATTTTGGAAAAAAAACTATTATTTAAGCCACTATATTGTTGTAATACTTTGATTTAAGTTGATTTCCTTCTTAAAATTGAGCCAAATCCATTGGAAATTAATCAAATCGTCTTATTTTGGTCAGAAACGACGAATAAACACACTGTTCTGTGTTCAAATCGAGCAAAATTGCCGAGTTTTCTGCCCTAAAATTTACCTAAAACGATTGGAAATTAATCAAATAGTCTTATTTTAGCCGGAAACGACGAATAAACAACACACATTTCGTTGTTTTTGTTAAGAAAACTCTGCAAGTTAATGTATTTTAACAAAATAAGTACTTATTAGTTGTTTCCGGTCAAAATAATACGATTTAAGCAAATTCCAAATGGTTTGGCTCGGTTTAAAGCCAGAAAAAGTTGTAAATAAATGTATTTTATCAAATAAGTGTTAAAATTGTGGTTTCTAGACAAAATAAGACGATTTGGTTAATTTCCAACGGTTTTGGATGCATTGTTTTAGCCAGAAAACCTCACAAATCAATGTATTTCAACAAAATACGTGTTTAAAAGCCGTTTTCGGCCTCTATAATACAATTTACGCAACTTCTAATCAATTTGGCTCGATTTTGAACCAGAAATCGAACTAAATCAATGTGCTACTCCATCTTTTATGCAACTGTGCATTTGTTGGCTACTGAAACAATGGTAATTATTTTTTGTTAATGTTTAACGTTAAATATCTTTTTAGTTATTGATTATAAACACTTAAAAGTAAATAATTTTAGAAAGGCAATTTAATAATCTTTTAAATGCAAAAACAAATAGTGTTCCATTCAATTTTTTTAAGTTATTGAACTTTTAACATTTTTTTATCATTGTAAATGCAACACACTAAAAAAATGTAACAACCTTATACTTTGTACCTTCTTCTTTGAGATAGTAAAAAAAATATTTCTAGATGTCTTAGTTTTTGTGTAATAATAATGTAATAAATTTAAAAAGTGCATGTTTTCGTCAAAAAAACTGTCTTATTTTTAAAACTAAGCAAAATCGACCAATAAAAGTTTATCTTAAAAACATTGTCATAAAAATCTACATCCAAAAACGCTAAGAAACATAAAATATGGTGTTTCATTTAAAAAAACACAAGTTTGAATTGTAACTTATGTTTGAGACACGCTGTATAGTTGAAAATAGTATAGTATCTATCAATGTCCTATACATTTTTTTTTTTAATTTGATCATTTAAAGGTGACTAATGGACTTTTGCAACTCGCTGGGACACCCTGTATAAATGTAAATCTTTGGAAATCCCTCAAGGTTTACACATAAATCCACCAGCGGTTTACCCCAAGCAATTTTTTTAGTAGTGGTAATAATTAGTTTGGCAACATTGACTATAAAAAATCAGTTGGGTGTTGCCAACCTAATTTCTGAATCACAATTACCGATCACGTGGACCTTCTCGTTGTTAAATTCCGCCGATTGCAGCTCATAAATGAACCACTGGAGCTCGGTGGCGGGATCTGTGCTGTTCAACAACAACCACCAGTTCTTGTTATTGCAATAATTCGTGTTGAGGGAAATTAATCTGAATCCAGGCCTGACCAAAACCGAGTAAAACGCCCCTCTTCGCACCGTCGTACTCACTGAAGTCGGCAACCATTTGCGCCACTGGACGTCCAATTCGTCGTACAACCACGAAATTGAGTTGTCAGGATTGTCGACAAACGGTGGTGGGAAACTGTTAACTGGAGCTGATTCGTGGTTGCCCAAAGCCGGGAATATGGGGGCTCCTGGAAACATATCAGACATTTGCTTGACCGTCTCTTTGAGTATTTTCAAGTTTTCTTCGCGTGTTTGGTTCCAGATGTCGTGTGGGGGCAAATCGCCGGTCCAGAGGATGTAATCGATGTCCTGGAATGAGATTGAGACTGGTTGTGGTTGACTTTTGATGGTTGCTGGTGATGGTACTTACGGGATGGGTCTCCTGGATGTGCTGGAGCATGTTGTCGACGGTGATTTTCGGGGTGTCGCACTTGCGGTAATCCCCCCATCTGAAAATATTTATTATTCACCAGATTCGGGTTGAAAAAGTTGATACATTTACACCAATTTTTACCAGAATACAAGATTGTGTTTTAAATATTTTCAATAGTGCCGAAAATTATTTTTTTTACATAAACTAAGTTGTTAAAGCTAAGAGTTGGGAAAAAACGTAATATAATCTTTTTTTATATCAATTTGGTGATTTCTGGAAAAAAAAAGCTAAAAATGTGCTTAAACTCTCAAAAAAAAGGCACATTTTCGGCCTAATTCTGTGATTTTTCGACTTGTTTTTAACAAAATCTTGGAGAATCGTTGCGTTTCTAGCTGAAAAACATGCTAAAACGCTCGAGAAATGAAGAATTATATGATTTTTCGACCTAATCTGTTGACTTCTTTGATTTGTTTTAGCCAAATCTCGCAAAAAACCTGAGATTTTTGCACAAAAACGTGCTCAAAAGCATTCTCAACGAAATCGTTAGAAACAAAAAAAATAACATCAATATTAATTTTGTGATTTTTAGGCGTATTTGAACAAGATTTTGCAAAATAATTGAGTTTTTGGTTCAAAAAACGAAGTAAGTCGAGCAAAACAAGCTAAAAATAGGTAATATCAATTTTAATTAGATTTTGTAATTTTTAGCATGTTTAAACAGAGTTTTTTTTAAGTTTTTGTCGCAAAAACGTGCTAAATACTCAAACAATGCAAAAATAATACCATTTCTGACCGTTTTGTTAAATTTTTGGCTTGTTTTTAACAAAATTTTCCAAAATAATTGAACTTTTTAAGTGTTAAAATGCTCGAGCAATTGAAATATTTTATAATTTTTGGTTTGTTATAGTGAAATCTTGCAAATAACCTGAGATTTTTGCACAAAATCGTGCTTAAAAGCATTCTCAACCAAATTTTGTGGTTTCTTGGCTTTTTTGTCTTAATTTTGCTCAAAAAAGAGTTGAATCAAGAGTATAAAAAAATATATCAATTCTTTTATGATATTCAAGTGTGTTTAGACAAGATTTTGCAAAATAAATGAGTCACTGGATTAAAAACGAAGTAAGTCGTGCAAAATAAGCTAAAAATAATATCGATTTTAATTTAATTTTGTAATTTCTTAGTGTGTTTAAACAATTTTTTTCTGATTTTGTCGCAAAAACCTGCTTAAACACTCAAAAAATGGAAAAAATATATCATTTCTGACCATTTTGTTGAATTGTTGGCTTGTTTTTAACAAAATTTTCCAAAATAATTGCGCTTAAAAACGTGTTAAAACGCTCGAGAAATTAAAAAAATTATATAATTTTTTACTTATTTTATTGATTTTTTTGATTCATTTTAGCAAAATCTCACGAAAAACCTGAAATTTTTGCACAAGAACTTGCTCAAAAGTATTCTCAACCAAATTTTGTGGTTTCTTGGGTTTTTGACTTAATTTTGCTCAAAACAAGAAAAACAAACAAAAAATTTCAATTCTTTTTATGATTTTCAGGGGTGTTTAGACAAGATTTTGCAAAATAAATGAGTCTCTGGGTCAAAAACGAAGTAACTCGGGCAAAACAAGCTAAAAATAATATTGTTTTTGATTTAATTTTATAATTCTTAGCGTGTTTAAACAAAATTTTTATTTTGGTTTTTGTCGCAAAAACGTACTTAAACACTCAAAAATGCAAAAATAACACCATTTCTGACCATTTTGTTGAATTTTTAGCTTGTTTTTAACAAAATTTTCCGTGCAAATGCTAAAATAAACGCTCGAAAAACTCAAAAAGTATTTAATCCTGTTGATTTTTTTTGGTTTGTTTTAGCAAAATCTCGCAAAAAACCTGAGATGTGTGTACAAAAATGTGCTCAAAAGTATTTAACCGAATTTTGTGGTTTCTTAGATTTTTTTATCTTAATTTTGCTCAAAAACGAGTTAAATCGAGAGAAACAAACAAAATAGCATCAATATAAATTCTTTTTGTGATTTTTAGGCGCGTTTAGACAAGATTTTGCAAAATAAATAAGTAGTTGGTTCAAAAACGAAGTAAGTCGAGCAAAACAAGCTAAAACTACATAATATCGATTTTGATTTAATTTTGTATTTTTTCGGTTTTATTCTGTTTTTATCTCAAAAACATTCTTAAATGCGAAAGAAATGCAAAAATTACATGATTTTTGACTTAATCAGTTGATTTATTTGGTTGTTTTAGCGAAATCTCGCGAAAAAAAAAACAAAATCGTGCATTTTTGATCAAGTTTTGTAGTTCCTTAGCTTTTTTTTGTCTTATTTTGCTCAAAAATCAGCTAAATCAAAAGAAACAAAAACAATTACAACAATATAATTTTTTTTATAATTTTTAGGCGTGTTTGGATAAAATTATTGGGTCTCTGGGTCAAAAACGAAGAAGTCGAAAATAAACTAAAAAATTATATCAATTTCTATTAAATTTTGTAATGTTTTAGCCTGCTTAAGCAAAATTTTTCCTTCTTTACACTCGAAAAAGCAAAAATAACACCCATTTTGTCTTGTTTTTAACCCAAAAAATCTGACAATACTGCTTGTCTATGCAACCAACAATACACTAAACGGTACTCACTTCCCGGCTGCTTGTTCCTTGGTACTGGCCAACCCATTGGTCAAGCGGCAACACAGCGGTTCACTACAATCGGCATTGCTCCCTTCATGGTAATATGGGTCGTAATGGGTGTCCGACAAATGCAAGACTTTGAAAGTTGGCGCATTCATCTGCAATTCAAACTTTGATTTTTCTACTACGAGATTTTAATTTCAAGTACTTCTGGAATTTTTTGCTCGACTATTGCCGGTTTTGGGACCGGAGGAAACATAACTTCCCATTCGTGCAACGGGTTATAAACGTCCCCACAAGCGTCTCCGATCACAAAACTGCAAACTTCATCAGGCCCGATGGTGACTTTCCCCAAAACGTAGATCACCTCCCCTGCGAAAAGCTCAGTGATGCCTTCGCAGACTCGAGCTGTTTGGATCTTGAGATTGACGCAAAACTGGTAGATTGTTTTTTTGATTTCCTTCTCGGATTTGCCCGTTTTGATGTAGTGTTGCAATAAGCCGGCGCCTGAAACAACAATGTAAAGTCTGTTTTTTTCTAAATGGAAACAGTCAACGTTAGCACCCCTAACAAATTCATTCATGGTAATTTTAATAAAGGAAGTTGGCAGCTCTGGTTTTTTGAATTAATTTGAGAACATGTCATTAAACGTCAATCGTCTAAGAAAATTTAGAGGCGAAACACCAAAAAAGGAACAAATTCGGTACCGCTAACAGTTTTTAGAAATTTGGAACCGAATAGTTCGCAAGCAGGAAGTTAGAAAAAGGACCCGTTAAAATGAAGGCGCAATTTGTAATGCAAGTTTGCTAAACATTTTCAATTTTTAGCAAGAAATTGACAAGAATACAAAATAAACATGAATGAGAAAGAACCTCGGAAAGAACGCAATTAAATTAGTGTCTTGTGCATCGTCTTTGAGGAACGAATTGAAAAAGTAACAATTTTGAAACTAAAGCTGAAGAAGAATTTATAAAATGCATCAACTTTGATCTCATTTCAATAAATTACATAAAATTTATTGCCAATCATCACAATACCTACTTGTATCTTCTCCAAATAACTTTTTTCTGGAATACATCCTTTTTCTTCCAAGTTTTTGAGCAACATTTTTGTCCACAACATTGTACTTACTTTCGGTGTGTTTCTATCAAAATTATTAACACTGAATTCTGTCTTTAGACCTTAGGTAATGATGTCTGTCCTCAGGTATTCAATTATAGCGCTTTCAAAGAGCAAACAGGCACACAAGATTCATAAAAGTCAAAATTTTGACAACATCTCAATTTCAAAACATAATCATAATTTTTTAACAAAATTTATAGGGACTACATATACCTAAAGACTAGGATACGACACGATGTAAAACAAAACGTCCCCGTTCTCGATAGTTCTGTTAGTGAGGCCAGATAGCGCAGTTGTTCCTTTCCCGTTTAAGTTTTAAGAGCAATGAATTAAAAAAATGGATGTATTTAGATAACGGTGAGAAAAACGCAAATAAAAAAAAATATAGGCAGGTAGAGCATCAAATTCTCAATAATAAGAGATAAAGGTAATACAAAAATTTTATTGGAAACTATATTTAAAAAAATTTCAAACATTTAGCAATTTTTGCACCACGTCTCATATTTTCAATTCAATTCTCTACAACTTTGTTCCCTACACTTTTTTTGCATCTTGAACCGTATTCGCAGCGTTCTCAAAAATATCGAAAACAGTATTAAAAATAAATTATAAACAATTATCAGTTTGCGTTCCGCCCAATATTTTTGAGGACGCTGTGAATATGGTTAAAGATACAAAAAAAGTATAATAACAAAATTGTAGAGAATTAAATTTCCTACAAAAAAGTCCGAAAGACTATATTTTAAATGGCTTTAAAGTCTTCCTCTGGCACTGAATCGCCAATAAAAATGAAACGAATCCATCGCTTGAGCGGCTTTGAACGTCTTTGAGACCTAAACCCTTAAAAATAGAGGTATTCTCTACAATTTTCTTTCTTACATTTTTCTTGTATCTTCAACCGTATTCGCAGCATTTTGAAAAACATAAAACGGAGCAAAGATTTTAAATTTTAAATATTTTTTTCTCATATTTCTCGTGAAAAATTTAGTCGTTCCTTTTCCACAGCTTATGAAGAATGTTAAGCCCAACATTTTCGCATTTTTTTCCAATCAATTAGTAGACTGGTTGAATTTAAATTAACTTAAAACAATTTGAAACTGAGACGGTAAAACGCTCTAAGCGCCCTCATTCATACTCCGCCGCACTACTTTTTTTGGATCCAAAAAATCTAGCAATTTTGTATCTTGTTTCGTCTCCTAGTATGTAGTTTTCCGTACTAGAGTTTCTATATTAGAAGAGTTGGGACACTGAATTTTCCAATTTGTCTTTTATATACGTCGGTTGACGTATAATAACAATAAAATTGGATACAAATCAGTGGCGTTTCGGTAAAATTTAACAAAAAGTCGAATTAATTTGTCAAATAAAAATTGACCTCTATTCTCTGCTGGGTCCTATTGTGTTAATACATAAAGAAACTGTGAGTTGTTTTCTGTGCCACGTTGCTCCAATGCACGAGACAGTGTAAGACAAGTGGAACCTCTTTAAAACTAGCCAACTGGAGTGTTGGCCCCAAAAGTAAAATTTATCAAAAACAAAGGTGAAGCTTTCACATGATCAAGGACTATTATTCCGTTGTATGGAGTGTTTTATTTTACGACGTCGAGTCAGGTCAAGTCTAATAATTTTGGAAGTTTCAGGTTTTAAAACGTTTTCTGGAGACACTATCAAGTTTTTATTACTTATGGTAAATGCTGTATACAGCAACTGTGTACACATGTCTGTCTGGCCGCATCTCATTCTCCATTTATCTCCTACGTCCCTGACCAAATCTGACGTAAAATTATGTCAGTTTGTCAATGGAACAAAATTTATAACCCTAAAATAATTTTTGAAATAAACTTGACATTAGTTGCTACGAAAAATTTTAATGAAAAAGGATAGAACGTATACATACAGGGTGAATTAAAGTATGGAACCAAGCGGTTTTATTTTTAATCATTTGCCTCCAGAAAATAATAATTAATATAAATTAAAGTAATATAAAAAATGTGATCGTATTTTCCGAACGAAATTTTGTTTTGTTTTTGAGTTTTGCTATTTTTTTTTTAATTTTTTTTTAAAATTGCAATTTATGTGAAAAAAATTTTTTTTGAAAAAATTAAATATAAAGCAGATAGTTGTAATCCTTAGAGTATAGCTTTTATGAGAAAAATGATTTTATAGTGGGTTGCCATTAAAAAATTTTTTTTTTTTTGTATAACTCAAAAACAAAAGGAAATTTCGAGAAATGTTATTTTAAATCATCACATTTTTATAGTAGTTTATCACTCATCAATTAGTTTTTTCAAAAAATAAATAGTTAGTTTAAGCAAAAAGCGTTTGGTTCCATACAAAATTGGCTCGGTTTGACGTTCAGTGTTCCAACTCTTCAAATATAGGAACACTACTATGGACAGAAACAAAGAGCAAACAAAATTTGTGGCTATGGAGACAAGCTGCTATCAATATTTTTACCAAAATTTTAAAAAATACAAAAATGAGGTAAAAACCCACCTGCTTTGCATGCTGTGCACGACACTTTCGACATCACCGAGTTCTCAATTTCGAAAGCGACTTGTTTCAAATTCAACAGTTTCAAGGCTTGGTCGACGAACTGCGGTAAATGTGTGGATTTTTCCTGGTCGAGCTCCCACAAAAGTCGAGCCTTTGACAGAAACCCAATGTGCAACATGTCCAAAAATCAACAAAAAAACAAACCCTCTTATACCTACTTACAGTCTCATTAGCCACGGGTGGAAGTGTGTGGTTTTTTTGAAGCCGCTGCAAGACGGGTACGGTATCGTGGCCGATTTTGTAGTCCCAATCGTCGCTGAATCGCTCTTCTGATGGCGGGTGTGCGTTTATGATTGTTGGCATTGCTGCAAAAATTCTCGTAATTTGAACGGCCTTTCAAAGTGGCGAAATTACCTTGGATTTGGAAAAATAGGAAACTTGCGAGACATACTGCCACTGGGAACATATCTGCAAAAAGACAATTATTTGTAACAAAATTGCGTAAAATAAACTATCTATAAATATGATCAAGTGCGTCAACATTGACCAAAAATCGTCAGTTGTGAGATAAGATTTTTTTGCACATTATCGCAAACAATAAATAATTCAAAAAGTTTTATAACACTATTTTCGGTTTATAGCTATTTAAAATAATATTCAGGGTGGCTCGGAAATATGTGCCATGCGCTAATGACATGTTTCAAGGACAGAGTAATTTGAAAATTTAGATTTAAACAAATTTTGTGGTTCCTTGGCTTTTTTTGTCTTAATTTTGTTCAAAAACCTGAGAGAAACAAACAACACAACTTCAATATCAATTCTTTTTGTGATTTTTAGGCGTGTTTGGTTAAAATTTTGCAAAATAAATGATTCTCGAGTTAACGTTAACGCAATATGTTGAGCAAAACAAGCTTAAAATAATATGAATTTTGATTTAATTTTGTAATTTCTTAGCGTGTTTAAACAAAATATTTATTTTTTTTTATTTTTGTCGCAAAAACATGCTTAAAGACTTAAAAATGCAAAAATATCTTTGGCCATTTTGTTGATTTTTGGCAAAATAATTGTGTTTCTAGCTGAAAAATCTGCTAAAACGCTTGAGAAATGAAAAAATAATATAATTTTCGAACTAATCTGTTGTTTTTTAGAGAAATCTCGCGAAAAAAAATTGGGTTGTTTTTTACTTTTTTGTATATTTTTGATATAATTTTCTGGTTTCTCAGCTTATTTTTGTTTTAATTTTACTCTGAAAATCTGCTCTCAAAAAAAGCATAAATAACCATTTTTGACCAGTTTTGTTAATTTTTGGCTTGTTGTTAACGAAATTTTACGAAATAATTGCGTTTCAGCTAAAAAAACGTGTTAAAACGCTCAAGAAATGCAAAAATATTATAATTTTTCATTTAATTTGTTGTTGTTTTTGGTTTGTTTTAGCGAAATCACGCAAAAACTAAAATTTTTCTACTTAAGTATATAATTTTGTGGTTTCTCAGATTATTTTTGTTTTAATTTTACTTAAAAACAAGCCAAATTTTTGTGCAAAAACGTCCTTAAAAGCCTTGTCGACCAAATTTATTTTTGTCTTTTGCTTATTTTTGTCTTAATTTTACTTAAAAACAGACAAAATAACATCAATATTATTTCTTTTTCTGATTTTTAGGCGTGTTTGGATAAGACTTTGCAAAATAAAAGAGCTTCTGATTCAAAAATGAAGTCAGTCAAGCAAAAATAAGTATCAATTTCGATTCAATTTTGTATTTTTTTAAGGAAATTTTCTAAATATTCTTTTTTTTTTATTTTAAAAATGTGCTTCAACATTCAAAAAAGACAAAAATAACAATGTTTTTGGCCACTTTTGCTAACTTTGGATTGATTTTAACGAAATTTTACGAAATAATTGCGCCTCTAGCTAAAAAAGATTTTACAAAATAAATGAGTTTCTGGGTCAAAAACGAAAGAAGTCGAGAGAAATAAGCAAAAAAATATCAACTTTGATTTAATTTTGTAATTTTTTAGTTTATTTAAACAAAATTTTTCATTTGTTTCTGTTTTTATCTTAAAAACGTGCTTAAACAGTTGAAAAATGCAAAAATAATTCCGTTTTTCGCCATTTTGTTTTTAACAAAATTTTGCAAAATAATTGCTCTTCTAGTTGAAAAACGTGAAACGCTCGAGAAATACAAAAATTATATAATTTTTGACTTAAAACACTATTTTCAGTTTATTTCATTTAAAATAATACACGGGATGGCTCGGAAATATGTGTCATGTGCTAATGACAGGTTTCAAGGCCAGACTAACTTAAAAATTTAGATAGTGCTCCAATTTTTTTAATAAAATAAATAAATGATTTTACAAAGAGTAAACAGTTTTTTTTTATTTTATTGAAAAATATTTGTAAGACAATGTTTGTGTAGTAAATTGGCCCTATAAAATGCGTTACATATATTAAAATATAAAGTTATTTCCGTTTGACGTCTGTTTTTAAATTTAACATAAAATTACAATACATTTGTTTTATTTACCATTTTAGAACGATTTTTAATCAAAGTGGCTTGTGCCCTCAAAATTAGGTTGGCTTATTGGTTGTCTAGTAGTTTGTCAATGTAGCCAACTTAAGTCACAGGTCACTTTGACCAGAAATTCAATAAAATTCGTAGTAAGTTAAAAACGTTTTACTTTAACCACGTAACCATCCAATTACTCCATTTCCGTTGTGCGCTTGTTGTTTTAATGGGAGGATTCGCGACCATTGGGCCACTGAAGTGACATTGGAAATGTTTACACACTTTAATGGCCCTATTAATACCAGTTATAATGTTAATTAAAAAAACGAGTTATCGGTGCTTGCAAAAATTGTTATATTTTACTTTCTATGCATTTCTATTTATGATTCATTTATTACGGTCGAGTTTAGAGTCAGAATCAGAAAATTTAAATAAATTATCTGTAAGATAACTGACGTGTTTTAAAAATGCAATCAGGAGAATTCTAACATTTTATTGAGTAACAAATAAAACACTTGCAAGGTGATTTCTCCCTGAATTACTCAACTCTTCCTTGGTTTTGAATACAAATAACCGAACATACCGGGTGACTATTAATGTTTGTGACAAAAATCTAATGGTAATACTGCATTCTTGGTAATCCTTCTAATTTGTTAATTAGAATTTACTATATTAGAATGACAATTGCCTATAAAAGTTTGACGTTTGAAACTGAAAAGCAAGGTTTCCAAACTACAATTTTAAATTTGAAACCAACCAAAATCACGATCATTGACAGTCGCCCGGTACAATTTTTTCAGTCAAAATCTTTGGATTCGGTGGGGGAAAATAAATTATTTCAAGGATTCTTACTCTTCTTGTTTTTTTTTTGTATGATATTTAACGAGAAAACTTCAAAATTGCATAAAAATATGTTTTGTATACGCTATTTTATACTCATTTAAGTCCCTAAAATGAGTTTTTTTCGGACTCAATAAAATAGTACGTACGTACGTTATTCGTGGCTACGCCACACGTTTTTTAAATTGGAATTCGTGTTTTCAGAAACTTTTTTTAAATACATTTTTGCGCACTTATGCATTTTTTTCTTTTTAATTGTAGATTAGGTTTAAGATTCAAAAAATCTTTATGCAAAAATAATTTAAATTTTGTTGATTACATATGTAATGTGTTTTTTGCAAAAATTCTAATATCCGGGTCTGTTTGTGTGCTCATAAAATTTGTTAAATTCTAAGGCCGCTCACTTCGTTAATGTCAAACGGTGCGAGTTTTCCCCTTGAGAAAGTACTTTTCTACTTCTAGTTAATTATCAACAAATTATAATCACTTGAACGCACCAGACAATCGTAGAGTAGGTACGCCTCGGTCATTGTTAATCCCCTCGAAATGGGTACTTTCTTCGTACCATGACATGCAATCAACAAACAACAAAAATTCCTAGCGCGTTTCTCGCTTCAATTAATCAAAATTTTCTCGTCTCAAGTTCACTTTTCGGCCAGTATGATCCACCGGTCGGAATTTCGAAAGTAACAACAGGGCTGGTGGCAACCAGGATTTGACCCGAAACTGGCTCAAATTTTAAATCCGGTTGGACCGTAAAGACCACAATAAAAATAAATACGCCGTTTACGGCCAAAAATTGAAGACTTTCACCAATGTTGTCACAAATTGTTAAATAACAAATCAACTATTTTGATTAGTCGGTTCTTTGCCATTATTGCAGTGACCCTGAATGGAAATTAGACAAACTCTTTGTGTTAAGTTCATGGAACAGTGACGCATACGTGTGGTTACAGATGGTTGCTGTCGATGATCTCTTCTGTTAGCAAACAGAATTATTGACTCGACTATCTCACTGTTTATTCTACTAGAAAGGTTAATACAAGCAGAGAAATCTGTCTGAATTTTTTATTTATTTAATAATAAAATAAAATATAATTAAAGAAAAATGTGATTCTGAATCAAATAGCATACATACAAACATCGATGGGAATTTCATTATATCATCCACGAATATACAGGTGTCCCAGCGAGTTGAAAAAGTCCTTTAAATGGTACAATTAAAAAAAATGTATTGGACATTGACGGATGCTAATCTAGTGCATCGCCTAAAATTATTTTCAACAATACAGCGTGTCTCAAAAATAAGTTACAATACAAATTTGTGTTTCTTAACATTTTTGGATGTAGATTTTTATGACAATGTTTTTTCGCTAAACTTTTATTAGTTGATTTCGCTTAGTTTTACAAATAAGACGTTTTTTTTTTGACGAAAACGTGCACTTTTGAAAAATTTATTACACAAAAACTAAGACAGCTAGAACAATTTTTTTCTTACTTCTGCAAAGAAGAAAGTACAGAATTTAAAGCTGTAGCAATTTTTTAGTGTTTTGCATTTGTAAAGATTAATCAATTAACAAGTTTGTTAAAAAGTTCAGTAACTTAAAAAAATTAAATGAAACACCCTATTTTTAATTTTTGCACCTAATAGATTGATAAATTGTTTATCTAAAAATAAACTTTTAATGTCTAGAATTGATAAATGAAAAAATATTTAACATTCAATATTAATTGTAGCAACAATGCCTATCAATATCTGAGCATTGTTGATAATATACCATTTTTAATTTTTAAATTAGTTATTGATTATAAACACCTAAAAGTAAATTATTTTAGAAACACAATTTAATAATCTTTCAAATACAAAAACTATAAATAGGGTGTTCCATTAAAAAAATTTAAGTTATTTAACTTTTAAAACGCCTTTATTTTTGTATCTTTGCAAATGCAACACACTAAAAAAATGTTACAACCTTAAAGTTGTACCTTCTTCTTTGCGGTAGTAAAAAAAATATTTCTAGATGTCTTAGTTTTTGTATAATAAATTTTTAAAAAGTGCATGTTTTCGTCAAATAAACCGTCTTATTTTTAAAACTAAGCAAAATCGACCAATAAAAGTTTAACATTGGCATAAAAATCTTTCATTTAAAATAACACAACTTTGTATTGTAACTTATTTTCGAGACACGCTGTATAGTTGAAAATAATTTTAGGCGATAGACTAGATTAGTATCTATCAAAGTCCTGTATACATTTTTTTAAAATTTTACCATTTAAAGGTCACTAATGGACTTTTACAACTCGCTGAGACACCCTGTATGACCTCGAAGCTGCGCTTCTGGGGTAATAAAGTATTCCCATGTCGGGAATACTATTTAATTAATAACCAAGTTTTAAAAAATAAAATATAAACTTTCACATTGATTTTCATTTAATTGGTTGTGGTTTCAACAATAATGACAATTGAAGGTGAAGAATATCCACCGGAAGAGGAAATCCAATCCAACTTCATGCTATTAAATACAAACAATGCACAAACGAAATCAAAAGAACACAAAAAATCCAATTATGTATTCTAATTAAATAAAAATAAATTATAAAGCAGTGCTATAACATAGTCCACCTTCAAGAGCCAAGTCAATAACCTTCATAACTGCCACGGCCATGGCCAGATCTCAATCCAATCGAAAGTTATTGTAGAAATTCAAATTTTGAGCACAATTAGCCAGTAGGCTGATGTAATTAATTAAATAACAATAAGATTACCACAATAGTGGTATAATAACAATTGTTTTTTAATTTCAACCTGAATCCTCCTCGCGGTAATGAGAGAATTGCCATTTTGGTCGTAAAAAAAATGAGGTTTTTCCTTTTGGTCAATCAATTCGCAATTACAGCTGTCCACTAATTAAAAAATGAATAGAAGGTATCTCGAAATTGGGCCCGCTTAATTTGGGTTAAACTGTATCTAAAAACAGTTATTGCGCGACGCTGTTCAGAATAAATATTGTTTAAATTCGAGTCAAACCAGCTTGAATGTTTGATAAAAATGAAGAGAAACGCGACAAGGTGAAAAGCAATAAAACACTCACCTGAGGAGGAGGAAACTTGCGAGAAAATGAACAAATGGTGACCCGCAAAGATGGGAAAAATCGGTCCGATTTATTTTTTCGCACACATAACCAATAAAGATCATCCGATGTGGTTGAACGAAGGTTTAAACCATCCGTTCTGCTCGTGAGCGAGTCAGAGACTGAGCGCGACATATTTAAATTGGGTCACATGGGGTGGTGACGAAGGCGGGGCCCCCACACTCGTCCAATGGCAGCGATTTTTTCCACCAATCGAATCTAGTCAAAAGGGATTAGTTGAGGGAAACAACGAAAAACTTGCTTTAAACTTTATTATGTATCTTCTTGAAGATGATCGAGGTCAGTACATAAAATAAGAATAACACAGTAACCAACATTCAATTTTCATAATGTACAGTATGGTCCAAAAAAGGTCAACAACACTGCTGCCGTTACTCGATTAACTGCTACCTCACACGACAAAAATAAGCTATTTTGGACCACTTGTATTTCACAATAATGAACCCAAACTGGAACTTAAATTGGAAAGGGTCTAGCAGACTTACTCAAGTCAATTAAGTAAATCTACTAAACCAAAAAACTACTTATATTAGGTACATGTATTTGTGCTTATATTTCAACTTCTAATTTGAAGAAAATTAATTTCATTGCAAGGAGACGTCTACATGATGATTCGAATTAGATTCGTAACAGAAAATACAAAATAAAACTATTCGTAAATAATTTATTGTAATAAAATACAAAGGACAGGAAAATGCGAAACAAAACCCTACCATAAATATACATCTTTGAAAAGTTTTTCTCCAAACAGTCTAGTGGAAGATAAAAAAGAACTAGAAATTCGAAACAATGGAAACAGCTACACGATAATTTTAATACACTTAATAATAACAGAATTCGCTTTCTATTTATCAAATAAATGATTGATATGCGCCGTGTTGAATTATTATTAAAAACCTAGCCGCTGCTGTTACATAAACCGTACTTACATTATTAAAAGAAGCAAAATACAAATACGATAAATTTTAAAATAAGAATTAAAACAAATATAACAAAAGCGATGTTACACCTTACTTAAATTTTTCTACTGTGTGTGTGGGAATATCACAAAAGTACATTAGATTATTCATCGTGTCGGCCCTTAAGTATACAATTAATTGTATTTTTATTCGTGTCACTTTTATTGGCATCAAATAAATTATATCATCCTTAATCTAGAAAAGGATAACAAACAAGATAATTAACCGTCAAGTGCTCAATTTTTTAAATATGCTTAATAAAAATAGATGCTGTACTGTCGCAACTAACATTCGTTACTAAATAAAACAGCAAGTCATAATTTAATAATGAGATCCTTCAATAATGGATTTGTGTTTCAATCTTAAAAAACTTAAAGGTTCTTTTTTCAATATAATTCTTACAAAGCGTCTTTTGATTTGTAAAAGAAGGGAGGAGGAGGGCAATATAAGACGGAACAACAAAAACTTCAAAAAAATATCTGAGGCATGATTTTGATATCAGCAAAATACCAATCAGTAAAATAATAAAAAGAGAAAGAAAACACCGCTTCAATATACTTCCTGTACTCAACGACCTTTGAGGTGGCGTTTTCTTGTTTATTATTTTTAACAAAAGGACATGGGAAGATACGGTGTTTATTTTAATTAAAATATGCTAATTATTTCACTAATTGGAATTTTGTTTTAGTTTATTTTGAGTTTTTCAATGTCTAATTCCATTAAATTATGACTTACGTGTTGTATAAATTAGTGACTTGAATACAACCCGTTGGAAAATCCGATAATAAAAAGAAAAAGACAAATTTTCCGTACACAAACACTTCCTCCATCCCATCATATTCCAGGGATGATGCACTAAGCGAAATACATCACCTTCTTGGTGTCGGCGTGCACCGTTATAGCCCTCGCCATGGCTCCGGGTGTTCGGTCTTCGGAAGAACCCGACTGGTGCGAACCTTCACCACTGAAACAAACATTTATTCAATTTTTGTTGTATTAAACTCCTTTGTTTTTATTATAACGTCACTATTTCAACTCATTTAGTGCAACTTTGAAAGCAGAGAAATCGGTAAAAAACAATTGCAAAACTAATTAAATAAGGCTATGCCCTTGACGCTCATTTTACAGAAAGTAGAAGTTAACATTTTAATTTATTAGCATTGTTGTATAGGAATTCAATTTTATTTAAACACGGACAGAACAAAACGTTTTTGTTATTTAAATTCTTACACAATAGGAATTAAATATGAGAATGTATAAACAAAGTTTAAATAATTTATTTTAATAGACAAAACTCTTGATATTCATACTCACTAAGTTGTTTCGTGCATACAGAGTGCGCCAGAACTCGCGCCCCAGAGAAAAATGACATGTAAAGGAACATGGAAAAAATGTTAAAAAAATTCAATCTATAAAAATTTCGAAATTATGAGAGTTCAAATTTTGCACTTTGACTCTATTTATTTCTGTTGGAAAAATAGTTTTACAAGTTTTTTTTGCTACAGGCTATTAGAAGTGAAAACAAGGAACCTGTATTCTAAATTGTTGTAACTATGTTTAACGTTATTTGTGGCTTTTATTGGCAAAATTTTTGTACCCTTACTAAATAATTGTAAAAACCATATGCAAGATCAACACTATCATTAAATAGACATATAAAAATAACAAATATCAAAAAATAAATGTCAAAATTTTTTGACAGAGAATTTTTTAAACGTTTTTTCATGTTCCTGGTATCTTATCTTACCTGAAATTTTTCTCTGGGACGCGAGTTCTGACACACCCTGTATAATGATGGATATTATTCATGAAGAAAAAATTTTGAAAATGAACAGAGCACAAGTTTTGTAATCATCAAAGTATAATTTTTAGCTCGATTTTTGATATTAAAGAAATTGACGTTTCAATTTAGTTGAAGTAACACAAGTGTAGTGAAATAGTTGTGAACAAAATATTTTTATTAAAATTATTAAATATTTTTTAATACTATATATTTCAAAAAAAAAAAAAAAGATAAATAATTATTAATGAATTGTTTTCTTTCTTTTTAATTTTGAATGGTCTGCATTCAATAATTAATTAGTGTTTAATATTAGATTTTGATAATCTTATTACGTAAATAATGCGTTGTATTTATTTAAAACTAGATTACTAGTTCATAAAAATAAACAATTATTATTCGTGTTTTATCTCATTGAGTAAATATTAAAATTTAGAAAAAAAATCATGCTTTATCAAAAATTTGAGTTCATGCTACACATGTTAATTTTTTGTGATCCCATTAGTGTTTACTATGACTTATGTCAATATTACATAATAATTATTATTTAAATACCTACAAAACAAAATAATAATAATAATTAATTCTGTATTTTTGAGATTATCTAAATCAAGATCAATTCTCCATCTTCATAAAATAACAATTAAAAAAAAATAAACAAAATTATCCAATCATTTGTCGGTCTTTCGAATATAATTAAAACATCAAAGTAAAAGAACTTTTTACCAACATTTCGATTTATTAAATTTATCATTATTTGTGTAATAAAAACAACTAAAATGAGATAAAAAAAACACTAACATTATGGCATCTATTTTGGCCGGTAATGTAGCGACCTTCATTACAAAACGAAAAAATCGGTTTAAAGATAAAATTTTAAATGTTTCTTCACTTATAACAACAGAATTGAACAAAAAAGTATGTTTTATTCGTTACCGACCTGTCATGCTCCTTTTCTACTAAATGATATCTTGCTCGGAAAGCTACCAAATGGGCGTAATAAGCCGGCGCTGGTATAGAAACAGATCGAGTACAACGCACATAAGTGTGACATAATTGATAAGTCAAACACTGAAGTTCATCCGAATCTAAATGGGAATCATCCCACAGGACATGATAATGTGACGGTCTTGATGTACCCTAAATAAAAAAAAAAATTAATTTCTCACAATCAAAAAAAGTGTTACATTTTACCTGTATACCCTGATGACTGCACAAATAAAAATCAAATTCCGTAGGATGCGTAATCCCAACATCGACTGTAGTGCCCGCCGGTATATTCCCACTTTTCCCGCTTTGTTCCTTCTTATCAGCACAAAACAATCTCGTGTGATGTCTTTTCTGTACCACAATAAACGTAATTCCCGGCTTATAATCACTCTCCAACTTGATACAAGCTTCACGTATCGCTGTTAATTCGTGTTGTAATAATTGAAGAAATTGCCCTTCGGACACTCCATCTCTGTACAAAATGATACGATGTGGTTTATAACCACCGGTCGATTTGTAAAACATTATCAAAAGTTCCCGAACCATTGAGCTCAACTCTTGGATGATCTCTTGTCGGTGCTGTTGGACACGAACAGTGGCGGCGTAACGTGACGGATGAGCATCCATTGAACCAACAACAGCTGCTATTGAAGGCTTCTTATTGTCACCAGCTGGAGGATGAGTGACATCAGCACCCAGGAATATAACAGGTTCGTTAAATATCTTTGGTCTGATCGATGGCACAAGAATGCTGTTGATACCTCCTAATTTAACGTTTATTTTGAGGCATAGATTTGACAGTGTCTGTGGTGATGTTTTGTTTACATTTTTTGCTTGAACACATTGGGTGGCCATCCCTAATACTGTGTCGCCTACCCTTTTAACTTCAGCTAAAACAAACATTTATTATTTTACAAAGAAACAAATAAAATTTTAACATTATTTACCATAGACAGGAGTCTTTCCAGGCAATACAACGACGACGAGTTGCAATGACTGGAAAGTCGATTTCAGGTACCGGAACATTGGCTCCACTTGGTCCGGACCTGTCGCGTATTTACAAAAACATGGTTGTCCGATTATTGGCATGCCTGCATCGTTTGAGATTTTTTGTAGCTGCTGGGTGAAATTCCTAAAAATAATAAAACAAAAAAATGTATTATTTTTTTCACTAAATAACTACACTCGGCCAAGAGTAAAGAAATATTTTGAACATTAAATAATTCAATATAATTTATTGCATGTAATTTGTTGAGTCATTCTTAAATACTATATTTTACAGAATTTAGTAAGTATTAAACAGTTGTTGAATAAAAAATATATTTAATTTTTGAAAGGACAAAAGTAAAGAAACAACAAATTCATAATTACATTTAAATGTTACAGTTTAATAATGGGTTAAAAATCCTTTGTTTAATTACCTCAGCGCATATTTTCGGCACGGAGTTGATTAATTTATTAATATATTCTAAGCTTACGTTTCTCCACGTTATTTTTACGACTTCGATTAATTCTTCTTTTGAATTGAAACCTCGACTGTTTTCTTCTCTTAATTGACGACCAATATGGTACCAAAGATTTTCAATAGGGCATTTCATTACAAGTATTTGTTCCTTTAAAATACATTCTTTTGCAATTTTGGTTGTATGTTTGGGGTCATTATCGTGTTGAAAAGTCCAACTCAACTGCCTACTTATTATCTTCACCAAAAGCAAGCATTTCTTCTCTTAAAATACGAAGATAAAGAAATCTGTCCATTATTATATATCAATAACATAGAGGAGTAGGACCCTACTCTGTGACCGGAAAAACAACCCCAAAACATGGCGCTGCCACCACCATGCTTCAAAGCCCCTTTTCTGTATTTAGGATTAAATCTAAAGTTTCTCTTTTTTTTAAATAAGGCAATTCTTTTTGACACAAGACAGCGATTTAAATTCATTTGCAATGTCAATTTGTTTCTCACCAGCCTCAAATTTGTCTACAATTAGTTTTCTCAAGTCTTGAGACTGTTGTTTACATTTAGGCATAATCACTTCTTATTGGATCCTCTTGGTATCGAAACGATGAACAAAAACACGATTAAACCCTCACCCTTAGGATGACCACTTTGTGGTTAAAACACATTGCGTTTGAAATAAAACTTTGGTGTGACGAGTTTAATCGTGTTTTTGTTCATTACAACTCTTTAAAAAAAACACTTTTTATAGGAACTGTTTTGCACCGACGTTGTAATTAAATGCTTTGCACTAGGTAAAACGAAAATGTTTCTTTACTTTTGTCCTTAGCAAAAAAGTAAAAAGTTCACTGTATGTAAAAACCTTATCCAATTGACCAAAAAGCTTATAAAAAATTATGTAACGTAGAAGTAAATCGTTTTCGTTCTCATATTTATAAGAAAAATAAATAAAAATTTCAATTGTTTCTTCACTTTTGGCCGGCATTGTATGTATGCATACCTTAAAGCGTCTTCCCTAACGGTCCGCTGTGGAGCAAAACATGCGATAGCCCACACTCTGATTTCCACCCCTGTAAAGAATTGTTTGCCTCGCATGTCCCAAACGCCCTGATTAGGCATCGCTTGCTGTTTGCTCTAAACAAAAACACAAAACCATTAATTCCAGACGTTTCAATTTTAATACGTTAAATAAACAAAAAGCCAAATTGAATGTGAAATTTAGACAACACACACGATGCTAACACAAATTCAAATCACGTAAAACATGCTTTAAAGCAACAAAAACATCAATCTACAAATAAGCGAATTGTTATGATTAAAATAATAATAGTAATACAACTTGAAACTAACGTGCCAGCCCACCTGTCCGCTGAGGGAAGCCACCCGACCACCGTATTGGAGTTTTGGAGGTGGGAGAACCCTACCGCGAACCTCCATCATGTTGTTACTGATTGTCAAGCCGAATTCTTGCACGTAGGGGTCGTTGTTAAAATCAGCTCTTCTTACCAAATTGTTTATTTCACGTTCTCTGTCCGGTGCTGATCTACACCACAAAATAAAACAATAAAATATAACCAAAATTGGTTGTTATCACCTTGCTGTGGCTTTTATCATAGTAGATGTTTGCATATCCGTTAGTTTCTTGATGCATCGTTGGCCAGCTACAATGTTGCAGACTTCTAACGGCAAATAGGTGTGTTTGTGTTCCTGGCCAACCTGGAGGCACGGTAAATGGGGATATCTTAGTTTCATTTTGTACTTGTCGAGGAAATACTTTGCTACGGTACACTCTACGGTCTGTCCATTGTCCAATTGAAGAGGGAAACTAAAACATAAAAACAAACCAATAAAAATTTTAATTTCTAACTAGAAAACGTACGATTGCATTTGAGCCGGTCTTCTCGTCACATTGCACACTCTATATTTCCGCCTCATAGTGCCACAATGCGTTATTTCGATTTTTAATCCTTTTATTTCTTTAGTAAATTTGACACGTTGACTATCCGTTAGCGGTTTTCTCTGTTCGTTGATATCTCGAATGTCTAATACTTCGCACATAAATTCGATTACCGGTTGAGCTTTGTAGAAAGCAGTTGCAGATACTGAAACACAAAAATTAAGCCAAAAAAAAACAATGATGAAAATTGTAAAACGTACCGTCAATATTCAACATCATTTTCCATTGGCTCGGCCTCACCGATTGGTGAAAACCAAACCACACTTCTCTACCACCTCCTAAAGGATGATAATATCCTTCTGGACTGCTGAAGAAGCTTCTCCCGACTGGTGTGTAACTCATCGATGGCAAATGTCTCATGACGACGTCAAGTGCTAAAATAGCCTCATACGGAATCTGTCTCGTCCTACCTTCAAGTGCCTCTTCGAGCCCATAGAGCGACACTTGTGCCACCCATTTTATTGTCACCCTAAACAGCCTGTCTTTGCCTTCACCCGGTAACGTCACCTCCAACTCTTCGCGTGAATTTCCAATCGGTAGAGGATCTCGCGTATACAAATTGTTTCTACCATCAAAAACCGGCTTCAAATTACCGAAAATCTTCCCATATGCGTGTACCATAGTCTCGATAATTTCCCGATTAACCTAAAACCAACTTTAAAAAAAATCGAATGATTTATTTATTGATTTCAACCTTTCTGGGACATTTGTCGGGCTGTATGCTCACGTCGTAATGATGAACGAAACCTCTTGGCATCGTCACTTGGAAATGGTTGGCTTTCAAGCCAATGGGACGGCCTTCGCGGCCCAAATTCGGCCGACGGGGACATTGGAAGACCGGTGGATCTGTCGTGGGTGGCACGGTGGCGAGAGCCGCGCTCGTCGCCCCCACGACGGCCACGGCGGTGCTAGTGGTTCCAGGAGCGGTTGCTGGAACAACACATCCATTTCTTACACTCGAAAAAACTTTAATCGGTGTATCGATATCGTCTAACACCTTTAACACGCCCTGGATTATGTCAGGAAGAGGTAAAGACATGGTCAAAAACGAATAACAAAATTGTCACGATTATGAAACGATACAAACGCTCACAAACATACAAATGGTACAAAACTGAACAAGTCTTCTTTATCAAACGACTTAAAAAAAAAGATACAAAAAAGATAATAAAAATCCTTGCTCTTTTGGTAGATATGACGTAGGTATTTAAGAAATTTAAAATTTTATAAATTACAAACAAGTAAGATGTAGTTTTAAATTAAAGAAGAAAACTAACGTACTTACCATTAAGAATAAATAATAGTCCAATCTTAACTTCAGTATTTTTTATCGTACTTTGATGAAATAAGGATTTTCAATCTTGTTTTATATTTTTTCATTGATTTTTTTTTAATGGTCATACTATGTGATTGCTCAGTAGAAGAAACAAGCAAAAAAAACAAAAATGTAAACTTAAAAAATACGTATTTAACACAATACAAAAACTGTTGTTAGCATTTTTGTTAGTTAAATGAATTGTATTACTGAAGTTGGTCAAAAAAATTAAATCTAAAATTAAAATTTAATTGGATCTGCTTTCGGATTTTACTTTACTTTACTTAAAGTACAATGGGTGTGTGTTTTACACACCCCACCTTCGATAATGAAACAACAACAAAACATAAAGCAAATATTATTTAATATCTTTAATTTTCCACACTGATAAAAATTAAACATTCTTGTGTTTTTTATATTAAAAAATTAAAAATTAACCATACACGTATAGTACATTATTAAATGAAGTTGCTACAATCTCATTGGTGTATTTTAAACCATGTGATAAGAACACGGTAACTTTTTTTTAATCGACTATAGTGAAAAACGCAAAGTTGTGATTTACACGAGTACTATACAAAAACATTTCTACCATTGCGTAAAATGTGTAATTTATGGTTTAAAAATCAACAGTGTATACTTTGTGCGATAATCAAGGTCATTATTGAGTAGTTTTCAGCTTGAAATAAAAACTGCACTGATTAAAAATAGATAATCTGTTATATCAACGATTATGCAATCATCTCTCATCGAGATAAAGCTAATAAAACGAAAAAAAAAAATGTGAAAGTGGAAGAAAAATTTCGAAAAATGCTAAAAACTTAAAACTACCTTTTTATACCCCCATTACCGAATTTGGTTGTTTTCATTGAGTCGTTGATTTGTTCAATTTAACTCAAACAAACAAAAAAAGTCATCCCGAAAAAAAAATTCCGGAAAAGCACCAATGATAATGTCGAAATGAAAATAAAATGCAATTTTACCTGAGAGTGGATCAGCAAATGCGGTTTGTGGCGGGGGACTAGCACTTTGATGAGGCGGGCTGGTCTGCCACGACTCTGAAAAAAAGCTTTGCTTACGAAAATTGCAAAATAAACAATACTAAATTTAAGACTAATTAAATAAGAAAACCAAAAATGTTAATAAAAATTAATCAAAAATAAACTAATAATAACGAACCCAATTGGACGAAAGACATTTTCAGTCAACTCAATAATCAAATTAATCAATAAATATGTAAAAAAAAAAACAAATAGAAAACTTGGGAAATAGTTTGTTGAACGTGAACAACACGCAACTGACCGAATGTTCTAAAGGGATGGTTTCTAAGAGGGTGGAACCAATAGGAGGGATGCAGGTAGACAGACCGGTGGTATGGTAATTAAGTCTGCCCCTTCCACAAAAATGTGGGTGTGCAGCGACTCATTTCCACTTATTTTGCAATTAAGTTTGAAGCACAAGGCATCAAAACAGAAATAAAACTGTTTTCGGTTTATTTTAATTCAAGTAGAAAATCCACTTGAAAAGCCAAATGTACACGAAGTAAACATTATTTCTTGGCAATAGAGAATTTTAATCTTTATGTGCCTTTGTCCATTAGACCACATGGTGTCATAATACATAGAAAAATTTCTCTTTTGCCAAGAATTCGTAAGACTTTTACCTCAGTCCTGAAATGCTAATTCCAGTCATAAAGGCTTAAGAATTGTAATTTCAGAAATATAAATTAGAATAAAATTTTACGTTAGCCTATTTTCACCTACACAGAAGTAAACTGAAATACATTTGTCATATGTAGAAAAGCGTATTGTGTTTCGTAGGAAATGACAGCATCAGTTTTAAACCGAATGCAACTTGCAATTTTTTTTGCAAAAAAATTCTTGAAATTTGAATTAAAACCATCACTATTATTTTCTTTATAAACAAACAAACTTACAACACCAGTCGAGTAGACAATAGCATATTAATGTTTAAACTTTATGTCGCCGAACGTAGTGAGGCAAATAATTCAGATGAGCCATATCATTATGAACTCACTTTTATTGCGAATAACATATACTATTTTATCCGCAAACGTATTTAGGTCGAGAGTAAAGAGAAGTAAATGAACAAAATAATCAAGCTTTGCAAGTAATGAAATCATAACGCTTATAAACACACATCCGGCGTCAGTATCAGAATTTGTGTTTATTAATTTAACTAATGTTTAATTCAATTTATGCAGAAAAAAAACGCAAAATAATTTAATTTTTTTTGCTTTTGTTACAAAATTATTTTTAGGTAATTTTAAAACAATAAACTTAAAAAAAATGTTGAGTTTTTTAAATAAACAATTTAATAAACCATTCTTAGAGAAAATTATGCACTAATGAGATGAGCTTGACTAAAAAAGCATTATTAGTTTAATGTATTGCTTTTGAATAAATTGTTTTTCAAAATAAAATTGAGTAACATAATTTTTGTACGAAATAAGCTTTCTCTATTTTAAACTGCATTTTATGTAAAACAATAACATATTAAACGATTAATAAAAAATAATTATGTATCTATTTTTATTTTCTAAAATTTTTTATTTAAATTTTTAGACTGTTTATAGCAACTCGTAGTAGCAACCTACCATTTTAAATTTACGTTGTGAAAAAATTAAATTTGTCAAACTATTACTTGTAAGTTATAATTCACAAAAATTTATGAATGAAGGTAAAAATACAAAATTCCAAACTTGCTGTTTCAGCAATTTCTGGAGAGGCAATAAAGAAACAACATTGGTAAATGTTCAATAATATCATGATAAAAGTAAAAATGCTTAGGAGCAAAAACAGAATTTTTACTCCATGGCTGAAAAGTAAAACTTTTACTTGTGACATTTAGTTGTAAAAGTGGTCGCTTTTGTGACGTTTGCGGATAAAACGTATTTCTACGCTTACTAAAAACTCTATAATTTTTTTAACATTGTAAACTGTTAAAATGATTTAAATTAACAAAATAATTTTAGCCCAAAATATCTCTCAAGTGCAGTATCAAGGTGAAAATATTAAATAAGCAAAGATTTGCATAAAATTTAATAAAATTACATAAAGACTTCATTCATAAATAAAATGCACGTGACTGGAATAAATAGAATTACTAAACAATCAATGTAAAATCTCTAAAAGAATTAGGGGCAAAGGTCATGTGACTCTGAATATACCCAACAGGATCAGTTTATATAAACAAATCTAAAAATAAAATAAAGAAATCGTTATAAACTCGAATAAATAAATAATATTCTATAAAATTTGCTATTTTTATAATTAACACAGCGCCATCTGTTGATGTAATAAATAGGTATTTAAATGCCTTAAATTATAAAATAAATAACTCGAAATTGGTAAACATAATTTTTTTTGATTGAATTGCAAATTACATTTTTTGACTAATCATCGTGGGAAATATTCTTGTCATTCTGTCAACACAAAACCAAATATTCCTGAAACCGTTCAATGTCTTCGATTTTATGTAATCAACAGTGATAACGTGTACTTTGGGTCACCAATCGAGCAAAACCAACCCTGTCGTCGGTTAAAACCAGTCCAGGACCGGACTAAATCAATAAGGCCAGTCGTGTTGAGACCCAGACTTCGGGGTCAATGAACGAAAATGCACTTGATGTCGACCATCCTCGATGCATCATTGATTAGCCACAAACCATCCACCACAAATCCCAAAAACCCCCCAAAAAATATCAAAAACCCCCTCGACAACAAACAAAACGATAAACAAAGAAACGGATGACAACTGCGTGTCAATAATCGCAGAGGGGCCCCGCATTGCTACTAAACCATTTCTTTCGCGTGGTTTTAAGCGCAAAGACGCAATTACGCATAAAAATGGGGCCCCCGAAACGTTCCATTTGGTGAAAAACGAGATGACCTTATTTCCGTCGACGCATTCTTAGGTTAAGTCATTTAAACGTAATTTAAAGGTAAAACGTCGCCGGGTTGTCCTCGGGTCGTCTCCACGTCGTCATCGTCACAAATTCGATTAACTCGAAGGAAAAACGCGAAAAACACCAGGTGAAAAACGAGCTTTTCCCAACCAAACAAAAACAACGTCGGACGCTCGCCCACCGTACAATCGATCGGGGAATTTGTAGAAAATTGAAACTTACGGCCTCCAGGTCCAGGATACATGTTTTAAATATAATATAAACACACAAGCACACCACTAACACACCACTATTCGAAAAAGTGTCTATCTAGTTACAAAGATAGGCGGACATTTGCAATTGTTCGATGTGACGTCATCACACGAAAGCTCCACGGATGAGTGGAAGGCGCAAACGCACGCCATTGGTCGATTCGGAGGTTGGCATAGAGACGACGATAAACGGCGCCAATTTCGAATATTGATCGGTTTATGACACACCAATTCGCTGAATTTACAGCGCACGTAAAAGATAATGGGCAATTGATGACTGTTTGCGGAAATCAATTTCATTTCCTGAGATGAATCACGAGACATTAGTCACGGTTTTACAACTTTGGGTTTTACTTTACTCAGATTAAGTTTTTTTTTATTATGTTTGTTAAACAGTAGTGACGTCCTCTAAACTGACAATTATTTATATACGCGTTCAGGTTTATAAACATAAAATAAAAACATGTAGCAAAAATTGAAATTATCTAAAATTTTAACCTGTCCAAAGTATTGTTTGGAAGTTACGTTATAAAATCAATATTTACGCTTGTGGATAATCTACAAGCGTGTGAGTACAGCATAAACATTAATGTTGAAAATATAACGTTATCAAACCGTTGCGAGAACAATTTTAAGATAGCAAAAGATTCTAAGTAAAGCAATTAAAAAACAAATTTTCATTCAATGTAAAATTTCAGTTGGATACATCGAGAAAAATAACATTAAAAAGCGTATTAATTAATAATTAAAAAACAACACCTGCCATCTGAATAAATAAATTTTTAACACAGTGGCAAAATTTTTATGCAAATCATTGTATACCAGGTGACTCACGTAAATTACAAGCCTTACAAAAATAAAACGCAACACACAGTACATTCTCCATTTAAATTACATGTCACATGTATTTTATTTTTATAAGACTCACCTAGTAGTTTATAATAAGTTTACAAGTTGATATTTAAAAAAATTCTGTTATACAACATCAATAATTAAGCGAGAATGCCTTGTATTGTTAGTTGCATAATGTACATGCAAAATGTACAACAAAGTAGCCTATGACTAGAAATTAAGTTGGCAACATTAAGTGTCATATTCAAACGTCACTTTTTATAGCCAATTGTCATTCATCATCCATTTCCATCACCTGACTCAATTTAACCATTAATAATAATTCAGTGTTACCACCTTAATTTCAAACTCACAGGTCACTTTGACTCGAAAATTGAAAGTATAGTTTTAAAAAAAACCTGTAAAAGTAAAAAGACAATAGCAAAATTTCGAGTTTTTTTTTGTTAAAAAACGCAATTATTGATATTTTTGAAAATTTGTAATAGAGATTCTAGCGAATGCATTTTAAAAGTGATAAATGCAAATTAAAAAATCACTTTTTGTCACACAATTCTGTGAGAGAATTAATATTCTGGTGTTTCGGTTAATTTTCTGTTCATTTCATCAAACATAATGTTTTTTCAGGAATTCCGCAATAAAATTATAGGTAATAATCACCATTGGGTTGTTGTTGCTGTTGTTGCATGGTCGTGTGATGCGACAAATGATTATTCACTTGAGATCTGTGTCCGATGAGACTTAAAGTTGTGAGATCAGGTAGCAGCTGGGGTATACCTGGCTGCATATTCTTCAGTTCCGTACCAGCAGACATGTTTATTCTGAAAAAAACAAAAAAAAAAACATCAAATTTATATACATACAATACAATCACATTTCGAGACATGTTTATTGTTGTTTCACAAGAGTGCCACACCTGCGCCCTTTTCACCATCCGGTTTCTTTCGTATTGTGTCTCGAGACCGCTTTCTCGTGACCTCAAATTAAATTTTCAATCAAAATTGACAAAATGGCTTTAAACTTTAAAATGCAAAATCAATAAATGGCGTAAACAAAAAAGCATAATTTCGAAAAAATATTATTTTTATCTTAAAAGAAATATAAATATGTACAGGGCGAGTGGCAAAAAACCTTTCTCACTTGAATATTGTCTATTTTAATCGGAATTAAATAAAAAATGGCCCATAAAACCAATCTTTAAAATATTACAACATGAACAAAATAACTATTTCATTTACATATTTGACAAATGACAGCAATTTCATGATTGCATTTTTTTTAAACCTTTTAGACAAATTACTTCTAACATTAAAAGATAAAGCAAAAAATGTATTTAATAAAAAACATCCAAAGTGACCTATGAGTGAAAAATTAATTTGGCAACACCAATAATTTTTTCAAAGTGAGTAAACAATACAAAAATATGCAAGCTATAATAACATTGGTTTCACAAATTTAAAATAATGCGATATGATTGGCTTAAAATACGGGTTGCTTAGCAAATAAAGAAAACACGTATACTCGTTTTCATATTAATGTGCATCAAAGTAATCGTTGAAACGGATCATTTGAAGGTGCAACCATGCGAAAATTCAAATAATCCTAACCTCAATCTTCCCTAAAAATAATTTTTTCAAATAAATATTAGGGTGGGCCGAAAAAACTAATTTTTTTATTTCGAAGTTGTAATAGCGCGGAAAAGTTGCGAATTATATATCAAAAAAAAAAAAAAAAAATCATCAAAATCAGTTGACATCTTCCGGTCGCGCACAGGTCTTAAAGTTTGACAAAATATGAAAAAAACTTATTTTTTTAAAATTCTTAATTAGATGTTTTCGTAATGTAATAGTTTGTAACGTATTCAAATAGAGCCTAAAAACATTGTGTTTTAATTTGGTTTAGATCAGATATCTTCCGGTTATATCTTTAACATACTTTTTTTAACAATAAGAAAGTTGGGTTTTAGAAAACATCTAATTAAAAAAATTAAAAAAATTAGTTTTTTTCATATTTTGACAAACTTTAGGGCCTATGCGCGACCGGAAGATGTCAACCGATTTTGATATTTTTTTTTTCTTTTTTGTCTATATGTATAATTGGCAATTTTTCCGCGCTATTACAATTTGGGAATAAAAAAATGAGATTTTTCGGCCCACCCTTATAAATATGTACCCCGGGTAGCGAAAAATAATTAAAATTAACAACGTAATTAGTATAGAGTAGCAAATATAAAGAATTTTGTCATTATTAATGTGATTAAATTTGTCCAGAATGACATTAATGACACATTTTGTGTGAATCTGGCTTTAAATTAAAGATGCATTTCCTCTACAACCCACTTGATGTACATACATTAATATGATAATTGCCTCTTATTTAAACAAACGTTGAAACATTTCAACTACTGATAAGGTTTGTTTTTCACGGCTGTTTGTAACGTGTGTTCATTGAAAAAAAAAACTCGCAGTAGGCGAACGTATACCAGGTGAATAAAAAGTATGGAACCAAACGTTTTTTGCTTAAACTATTTATTTTTTGAAAAAACTAATTGATGAGTGATAAAGTACTATAAAAATGTGATGATTTAACAAGAATAAAATTTTTCGAAATTTCCTTTTGTTTTTGAGTTCTACAACAAAAAATATTTTTTTTAAATGGCAACCCACTATAAAATCATTTTTCTCATAAAAGCTATACTCTAAGGATTACAACTATCTGCTTTATATTTAACTTTAAAAAAAAAAAATTTTGACAAAAAAAAATCGAATAACTCAAAAACAAAACAAAATTTCGTTCTGAAAATACGATCATATTTTTTATATTACTTTAATTTATATTAATTATTATTTTCTGGAGCCAAATGCTTGGTTCCATTCTTTATATTCACCCTGTATGTATGTCGTCGTATGTATCGTCCGTTAATGAGTTATCTGTCATTTTGACAAGTGGATAAATGAATTAATCATAGACATGAAAAATATTTGTCAAAGCATTCTTGAGTTTTTTTAAACCCATGCAAAACAATTTACAGCGTGATGTACGATCATCACTCGGGTGGTTTTTAGAAATTACTCTCAAGATTGCAAATAAAAATGTTCTAAAAGGGTAAAGTTGGCAACAGTACATCAAAAATTTATTTGTTTCTATAGTAACAAACGTTTAAAATTAATGAGTGCAGACACAAGGTGGTTCAAAATGTACCGCGGCGTTGCCAATTTGAGCCTTAAATCTTTAAATATTTATATTTTCGGCAAATGAAAAATTGTCGGATCCTTTTGAATCACCGTATAGATAAAAATAGTTTACAGCCACTGAGATATTCCTTGACAATTTATTAGACTATTTGCACATAGTTGAAAGAAATATTAAATTTGTTTCTTAAATTAAATGATTCTTACAGTTTAATAATTATTAAATTAAATTACATTTAAAATGAGCTGATTTGAAGGTGAATCACCCAGGTGTGTGGTAATCGTTTGTATAAATATATGTAATTTGATAGATATCATCGCAATTTGAACTTCATAAATGGAAATGAGGTGTGTATTAAAATAAAAATCTTTCGAAGAAAATGACACGAGTAATTAATTAGTGATAATGTTATGAAAATTTAATTTAATAAAAAAAAATCATGACCGCATCCAGTCACCACTAAACAAAAATTAATGACTCCAACAGTAGCCTCTTTATTGTTTTGTAAAGAAATTCAAAGTAGTTTTGTTTACGACATTATGCAATGGTAATTTATTTAATCTTTCGGCTTTTTACAACGAAATTCTGGTTTTAAAAGCCATCGGAACCCTGTGTTTATTTACCTGAATGGAGTGCCTTGTCTAACCAACAGGTGTTATGATTACATTTCAGTTCTTTGTTAGTTTTTCAGTGCACTTTTGATCAAACCCACACACAAGTCACTTGAAATAATCAATTTCCACTGCAATCGAATAAAACGCACGTCATACTGATAAGATAAAGCGTCCGCGTCCGATTAAAACAAAAGAGAAACCCCTAAAAACGAAGTAATCAAGTCGGCTCCCGTTCCACCGCCAACCCCGCACTCTCGAATAAATCCACCGGATCGAGTCACCCTCGCTTGGGCCCTCCTCATAAAAACAGAGACGGAACGAAGAAAAGAAAGTAAAATCGGGGAGCGCACTTTTGGTCCACCTGTACGACTTTCACCACCACTCAAAAATGTTACGGCGTAATAAAACAAAACAACGTTGTTATCATCGGAAAAGCCAATGCACGGCAATTGTGATTACGCATTAGGAAGAAAGGAAACAAGTGCAAGTCGTCGACGACTCGATTGGGAAAGTCCGAAAATAGCCCGTTTTGAAAGTGAAACAGTAGGCCCTGGCCTAGGCCAACAGAGATCTTGAAAATACGGTTTCAAGGCCACGCCGGCTGTACAACACAAGACAACACCGCATTTACGCCAAACTGATTTCTACGTATTTACCTCGTCTGATTGTCCTAATCTCGGGGTGACACTGGCTGAAACATGTCGAAAAGGTGACCAAACTACACGAGAACACGGTTTCCGGCTTTGACATTACATAAAACTCGTTAATTTCACTACGTTTTTCGGTTCTTTTGTCACGATAGCACTTGTTTTGGATACATGGATGTCTCGATTTTAGGAGGACGCGGACTACGCATGCGCACACACCGAAAGGGTTTTCGGTTGCGTAACGTGTGAAAATACAAATTCGAGAGGGGGCGGCGGAGACGCACTTTTATTTCTGTGATCAAATGGCATGCATCGAAATTCAGGTGGCAACATTGACTATGAAGCAGAAACGATAATTCAGTGCTGCCAACAGACTTTGGCCGACTACCTTTACACTGGCAACGCCGCAACTGCGGTTTTTTTATGTAAAATAGGTCACAAACTTTTGCTTTCTGTATAAAAGAAGAGTCTACGTTACAAATGGACTCTAATGACAAATGTAGAACCACATTTCATACAGAAAAAACATGAAGTGATAGAAATGGCTGAAGTATACATTATTCAATGTTGCCAACTTAATTTCAAAATCACAGCCTATTTGACATTTTGAATTTTCAAGATTGAAAATTTGTGGTCCACCTCAAAATGTCAAACTTGTCAAGTGGGACCATTTTACAAGGTAGTATTTTTTGTGATGTTACGTAATTAAGTGATGCAAACACTTAATTAAACACAAAATCATGGCCAGACTTTTGCGCAAAGTGGGCTGTGGTAAAAACAAAGGAAAACATCAATTTCCCAATTACCTCAGTGCGCTGGCGGGAAACCGGTACGCAACGGTAAACCTCGCCGGCGCCCTTTCAGCACGTGGTGCAATAAACGCAACGCTGTTTCACCAGCCCTGGACGGCCATCATTGGCCCCCCAAGTCTTGGGCCCCCTTCACTCTCCCGATGAATGTTGGTCCAAAAATCCCCGAAATTTCTTACAAAACCGATGATTTTTTCGGCTTGCAGCCACCGATTACACACAATCGTTCGTTGAAATCAGACACCGGACTAGAACCTGCGTGTATTTAGTTTTATTGATCGCACATGGACGACCTTGAATTTAGTTAAAGAGGAGGTTGCGTTGCAGAAAGTGGTTCTGCACTGCCCTTGCGCGAGACCTTGAAAATTTCGCTACAACTGGGCCCGGGGAAATCGATGCATTGCCCCAGGTGATGCCTCAACAAGATTTTTAGGGATAAGGACAAAGGCACCGGGGAATAAAGTAGCGTCAATATCAAATTCACTGTATTTAATATTTAAACTTAAGCCTTATTTTTACAGTATGATGTTCACCTGGCGTCAAACACGGCCACTGGAAGCAATGTTAAAGAAAAAATTTTTGGAAAATGTAATAAAAATAAAAATTTGGAAAGGATACATCTTTTTGTTCTCTTCTTGTACATGATTCTATATCCACATTCTCGACATCTTATGGGATCTCTCGGCCTAATCTCATTTTCGTTGTGGCATTCTGAAATATTTTTCACAAAATCAAAACATAACCTCACTTACGCATACCTCCGCAGATGTAAACCATAGGAGTTTTTGTCGCTCCTGAGTCTTTGGTCGAAGGTTCCGACATTCTGATGATCAAAATTACGAAATATTTAATAAGATACGATTAAAACGCAATATTTCTATTAATTGTGAACTAAATCAACCACAACAGGAACATGGCAACTTTGGGTATTTTTATTTCCACGGTTGGTCATTCTGTTTTGTTGAGGCAGGCTATTTCAAAAAATTAAAAATGGAAATTTCAAAAAGTAATTATCAAATCTCCACAAAACGTTTTTCAACAATCTAATCAAGATATTTAATAGAAATCGACAAAACGCGTAAATGCTATTTAGGGTATTTTTATTTCTATGATTGGTCATCCCGCATTTTGACGTGTGAAACAGAATAACTTGATCGAATTTAAATATTTCAAAAATAATACTTAAAACCTCAAAAAAATGACTTTATTAATTAAAATTTGATTACTATAATACATCCATTTGCTATAATCTTGATCCGTCATTACAAAATGGCGTAGAACTTACAATATTTCAAAAAGCGTATACATTTAATAAAATATGTATTCACACTACACAATAAAATAAATAAATTGAACTAAAGAATAAAAATTCACTATATCTGCGCCCCTAGCCGTCTCAATTAACAAAACTGCGATCCTCAATCGTCATATACATCCCTTCTTCTTCATATGTAGAGTCATGCTTAGCCAAAATACGCAACAAAGGACGTAGTTTCAGCCACCACTGTTCTTTAGGCACACGCAACCTACAACAAATAAAAATAACTAAAACAAATCACTGTTCAAAAACATACTCAAAGTTGGTTTGCTCCTTCAATTCGGCAACTGGTGAGAACTTGTATTGTCTTTTCACGATTCCTAATAGAACCACGCTGTCTTGACTAGAACAACTGACTGAACCGTCAGAACTCATATTGCTTTTTAATTGGTTGATCATCCATTCCACCGCTTTGGCTGCCATTTTGGTACCCATGTTGCGGTCGAACGGTGAGGGGGAACCCCCTTGTTGCATATGACCCAAAACGTTCATTCTGGCACTAAACAGGCCTTTTCCCTCTTCACAATACAATCTATAGATAAAGTCGGTATTGTAGTTATCTGACGCTTTTTCGTTACGCAAAATGAGGCCTCTTTGAACCCCTTCGGACATTTTCGTCGCCATGTGATACACATCTTGTTGCAAGTCTTTAATCGTAAACTTTTCCTCGTAAATGTACGCCGCATCGGCACCCCCAGCCAGACCTAAAACAAGTGTGCTATTCCCCCAGTTGTAAAAAGAAATCTGTATTACCGGCAAGAGTCGCCAAATAACCGCAATATCCACCCATTGTTTCTATTATAAAAACCCTCCGTTTTGTCCCTTGAGCCGACTGTCTGATTCTATCACAAATTTCGGTGATTTCGTTCAAGGCAGTGTCACACCCGAGCGAAAATTCCGTCCCTGGCACGTTATTACTGATGGTTCCGGGGATTACCACAATTGGTATATTAAGAGCCGGGAAGTCTTTTCTGCTGTCCAAAAATTGCACAGCGGCTGCAAACGCCTAAACAACAATTTTGCGCTTCTATTCAAACGCTTAAACTTACTTCAAAACCCCCAATAATAAGCAAGCCTTGAATCTTAAATTCGGCCAATCGGGAGGCTACCAAACCCATGCGGTTGCCAGGGAGAGTGCGTTTGGTGCCCAAATTGGCGCCCCCGATACCCACCCAACCGGCCACTTCGGCCCAGTCTGTAAACAAACAAAAAAAAGAGAAATTGTGAAAAAAATAAAGAATTGTAATAATACAAACCCATTTGTTTTATGTTGCCCGCGATAAGCCCCTCGACACCTTCCTGAATGCCCAAGACTGTGTCGCCCCGATAGATGAAATTACGAACAAAAGAACGCACGGCGGCATTCATGCCACATGCGGGGGCTCCAATGTGCATCACCGCCACTGTGAAACCTTCCTGAATGGCAACAATACAAGCAAAATAAAGAATAGAATACAGAATCTAAATAAGTACTTAAATGTTAGCACTACTACAAGTGTTGGAATCGAAAAAAGCTAAAGCAGAAATAACAATTTATTTTAATCCGAACATCTGATTGGATGAATCTAAAAAATTTGAAAAATTTTGTGAGGGAAAAGTTCGTGTTTTGACGCATCCCGTAGCCAATCAGAAGCAAGCATCTTGACGTCATGTCAGCCGAATGGGTTTGTTGTGTCAATAAGTGTAAAAGGCGTAAAAAAATAGTGACGTGGAATTGGGTAATATTCCCCAACAAAGACCTTTTTCACCGGAACAGTTACGAAATGGTTTTTGTGCCGTTTTTGAGAAAATTATTGCAATAATGAGCCAGTTTTAACCAAGCTCCCGCACGAATCACTTGTCCGGATAAATTATTACTTATTATTTGGTGGTTCAGTGAAAAATTGTGTTGAAATGGGGGCTGTACACACAGTATTGTATATTTTCGAGTGCTAAGAGACATTTAGTAGTGAGCGATTTTTCGAGTAATTAGTGAGTGCCAATGGGAGAAGTGTAGAAGACAATCGTGCTACAAGGGTCTGGATTAAAGGGTAAGTCAAAAAAAATTTAAGTTTTTAAGAAAACTTACACTTTTTAAATTTTCTTTAAAATTTTCAACTAATTTAATAACACATTAAAGTAATTTTGTGTTTCTTTATTTCCAGTAGGTCCGTATAAGAAGCAGAAGCCAATAGCTACAAAAGGTAGCAGAAGAAGATGCCATAAAGGTTAGTGTATTTTATTTTTTAATTTTTTTATTTATTGCAAAGTGTGAATTTGTGATTTTTGAGTGTAACAGTAAGTATTTATTAAATTATAATTAGAAATTAATTGTATTTTAAGTAATATGTACTTATTTATCAAATTCTTTTTCAAAATTTGTAGAACATGAGTGCAAATGAAACATCGGTTAGAACAAGACTAAGTATTGTACAAATTTAATTTTTTTCCAGAATAAATAATTCATTTTTTATCTTGTTTCAGAAGTTCCAATAACCAGTTGTGTTTTTTCGAGTGCTTAATAGACATTTAGTAGTGCGCGATTTTTAAAAATTCGAGTAATTAGTGAGTGCCATTGGAAGGAATCTTTGGGGGAAAGAGAGTAGAAAATCGTGCTACAAGGGTCCGGATTAAAGGGTAAGTAAAACAGTACCTTTTATTTTTTTAGAATAATTACACTCTTTAAATTTTAATTAAAATTTTCAACTAATTTAATAACACATTAAACTGATTTTGTGTTTCTTTATTTTCAGTAGGTCCGTGTCAGAAGCAGAGGCCAATTGCTACAAAAGGTAGCAGAAGAAGATGCCATAAGGTTAGTGGATTTTATTTTTTTATTTTTTTGTTTATTACAAAGTGAAGTGCGATTTGTGATTTTTGAGTGCAACAGTAAGTATTATTATGAATAGGAATTAATTGTGTTTTAGAATAAATAATGTACTATACTTCAAATTCTTTTTCATTTGTAGAAGAAGAGTGCAAATTTAATTTAATAATAATTTTAACGAAATATGAAAAAAGTTAAACTAATACCTATAATCATTTCCGCAAAAAATTTAAAAGTACAAGTAGGTATATTTTGAAATCATAAATTTAAATTTAGATTTAATTATTGAGATTCAAAATGTAATTCTTTTAGAAACTTGTAACAGTGTTAGTATCTCAATATCAACGAAATTCATTTTAATAACATCAATGATAATAACTTAATTAATAATAATTAATAATAAGTTGCGAGGCGGGAGATCTATTGTGACGCTAGATTGGGAAATTTCCTCACTTCAAAGAATTCATCAACATCATTACTTGATAGCAAAATCCGTAATGGTGAATCTTGCCTGACTGCAGGTCTAAACCGCCGGGTCAGTAGAGTGTAAAGGTTGTGGAAATTATTTGTCGGAAAATTATGTCTTAAAATAATTATCAGCCAAATGGTTTCTTTTCTTTTGCCGGGTCAAATAATAATAATAATAAAATAAGTAAAGTGTGTGGATATATTTTTGGGTACAACAGTAACTATTTATCAAATTATTAAGAAAAATTACTATTTCTCAAATTGTTTTTCAAAATTTGAAGAAGACAAGTGCAAATTTATTTTTATAACAATTTTAACCGAAAATTTCAACCTTTTGTCTATTAAAAAAAAATCTACATATAGTGTTCTAGAAGAAATATGAAACTATATTATGTGGTAGGATACAATTATTTAGTTCTGACCTATATATTGCTTCTCAAAAAAAATATTTAATAAAATTTCATTTTTTTAATTGATAATCTTAACAAAAATCTTATTTACGTTTTCCAAGCTGATTGCTGACGATATACTTCAAAAGTAAAGTATAAAATAGTACATTACAAGCGAGGTGGTAAATATGGCATTACCCCGAGTGCTTATGTATATGAATAACGTACAGTTATGGAATTAAAATTTCGGGCAGTATTTCTCTGTCACTTCAAAAAGTGTCAGTGATGCTTTTTTAAGTTAAAATGACATTAAAATGACAAGAGTAAAAAATGAGGTTATTAATGTAAAGGCTGTTTTAGAGCTTACATGGTGAAAATGACAATACTGCCCAAAATTTTAATTCCGCAACTGTACAATGCAAATACCATTACCACCGAGGTTTGTATGCTATTTCATTCACAATCACATTATTTTTAATCAAAAATTTGAATAAAATAAAATTCTAAGAAAGTTAAGGTTCAAATGTGGTAGGCCATCTCAATTCCGTTTGATTTTTGACATTTCAGAAATGTCATAAAAAAAAATTTAAATAATGTGTGAATCTGATATTAAAATTGTTGAAATAGAGTAGTGCGCTTCCCCAGAAATAAGAGAAACTGCTACAGGAGCAATTGAATACTAATTTAGCAAAATATTATGCGTAACTTGACAATTTGAAGGAAAAAATTCCCGGTATTTTTGTAATTGGTTGGCTATCCTGCATATTAAATAATAAATAAATAATCCACATACTGTAATAAAAATATTTTATTACTTTATTAATAAATAACATTTTTAAGGCATCTAAGCAAGTTAAATAACTTTTGAAACACTAACTGATATTAGAGTTATACTTTCAACTCTTTCAATTTAATAGACACTTTTGTTTGACAAAAATGATAAAAAGCTAATACAAAACACAATGCAATAACTCCAAGAAATAAATCTATACGTACTCACATTTTTTAAGGTATACATTTGATCTTTAATTATCTCGTTTAGGTGTAAAGGTTACCAGCTATACCAAACGTTGTAATTTAAAAACCTATTAAAAACGCACCCGTTTCAGGTATAGCTTTTTTACATAGTATTTCTCGACACATGTTTATAGAAAACTTTTGTCTTAAAATTTAACTTGTAACAATAAAAACGGAATATCCTGTATATATACATAATAACTTGATAACTTCGTACTTGCGGCAATATAATGTTGTGAAATCAACTGTAAAGTTTTGGATTTGATGTATGGGCCTAAACATTTTTTCATATCTTTCAAACGAAAATTGACAAAAATGAAACAAAATTATGAGGTCTAAAGATTATGAGATAGTGATATAATTTGACAAATTAAAAATCCGAGATTGTTTGAAGTAAGTCGATAATACAAAAAATTCTTTAATATAATTTTTTTATTACAAGAGTCATTGATTGGTCGCTAAGAATTTGAGGGTTCATCTTCTTACATAGTCAATAGACTAGGTATGAAAACAAAACATCACTAAAAAATGTTTAATATACCTACTTATTAACAGGGGCATCTTATAAATGTTAACTTTGAAAAATTAATTAAAATTAATTATGATACAAAAATTGTTTTTTAATATGTTTACATTTTTAATAAACGAATCTATTCGTTACTGTTTGTTCGTATTTTATTTATACAGAAATTAATATCACCGTATTTTGAAATAATCGTGGAGCATCCTATGAATTTTTTATATTTAATATCACAGTCAATGAATATACGAAAAAAAAAATGCAACTCTACAATTCCCTTTTTATCACAGAATGGTTCTGTGTTACGCCACTGCTCAAGTTTCCCCACTACACCGAGTACGCATTGGCTCCGCCTATCGATATCCTTCTTAAAGTCTTGAACTTTAATATTATTATACTGCTCATGCGATATGATGACGTGTTTCTCAACCTTTAAAAGATTCGTAATCGGCATATTACATTGGTGATTGTGAATAAATGTTACACAACGCAACAAACACAAGAAACAAAAATAGAGATTTTCTAAAGAGTCAAAAAGCCAAATTTTAAGCACCATACTCACCGAAAAATACTCAGATTCACGCTAAAGCAAAAATAAACCAAAATTTTGCAAAAAACGAAAAAAACCTAAACCTATTTTGCAAAAACTTAAAACCCACAAAACCTTACCCTTCCATGTCCTTGATCATCAAACGCATCTTTCGGCGGCTTGAGTCGAGTTAACAACTTATAAGTCTCCAAATTGCGCATAAACGACTTTCCTCGCAACTCCACAGCCAAATCAAATTTTTTATCAGCCATTGCCTGTGACACCGCTTTCGTCCGCTTCACACAATCCATCAATGGTAATCTTAAATCAATCAATATTTACGAAGTGGCCTGTGACTTTGAAATTAAGTTGGCAACACTGACTATATACCTTACAGCCTGATTCCCGTCCAGGGAAATCACACACGGTTCGGTTTTCTCATCAGCTTCCATTAATGCCATCACGGCCTCAGCCCCCATACGACACCCCAAAATCCTATCAAAAGCCGAAGGGTTACCCCCGCGTTGCACATGCCCCAAAACGGTAATTCTAGTGTCTTGTTGGAGATTATCCACCACGACTTTTTTGATCATTTCGGCGGTGATGGGGTCACCGTTGCGATCAATAGCCCCTTCGGCCACAATAATAATGTTGAGACGTTGCCCCATGTGACGCTCCTACAAATTTGTGTCATTTTAACAACCATAAAAAAAGTAGATAAAACCCAAAATTAGAAATTGTACCTGAGACAACTTATGACAAAGTTTTTCGTGCCAGTTTACGTCAGCAGGGCTTTCGGGAATAAAAGCGTAATCTGCTTCAGTCGCCAACGCGCTGATTAATGCCAAATAACTGCAAAATTCGGTTTATTTTCATAGAAATTTACTTAATTTCAAAATTATTTATTTGTGGTGTCTACCGAATTGAATAAAAAATTGCGACCACTCAATAGAAAAATCAGTACGTTTTTTGAAAGCCCTGCATGTCGAGCTTAGTAAAACCATTTTATTTTCACCCAAACCTATTAGTGAGCATGCATTGTTAATAAAATAATAGTTACGAGGAATTCGACCGTTTAGAGATTTAGGGAAAATCAATGTTAAATTTGCTCCCAAATAACTTAAAAAGGTGTCAATATTTTTAATTTCTGGTTTCACTGAATGAAATAAAATATTTTTCTGTACGGTATAAAAAAGACAAATTTTCAGTTTTTTATTTTTTTAATAGACTTGAATTTTTTTTATAATGAAAATGTGTTTAATTTATTTATTTCTTTTTAATCTCCTGTAGTTTGATGTCTGAAACTAGGAACATTTTTCAATTTTGTAAACCGATGTATAATTCATTAATAATTAACGCAAATTAATAGCTTCTTAAAATGTATCGAAAAAAATAAAATCTATCCAGACCCGTAGCTAAATATTCTGAGCCCTACTTTAAAACTGTCTTTTTTAACAACTTTTTTTAGAAATAATAACGCATAAAATTATAATACAGATTAGACCAAAAGTAACGCACAAAATTCATATCTTTGTTATGAGTAATTTTTCAAAAAAAATCCTCGAACAGGTCGTTTTTTTAAATGCTACATTTTAACACTATCGTGACAAATATGACGTCAATCATTTTCGAGTAATGACGTAATTTTTTTTAATGTCAATCGACATTTTTTATTACTGTTTTAGATAGTACAGTTGGTTGCTAATTATTTAAAAATTATACAAAAAACAATTGCCCTATACAAAATAAGGCAAGAACAAAAAGATAAAGCCTTTTGTGTTTGTACAATATTTTTTTTATTTATTTTTTTATGTTTTAATTTTTCATTTTTTAATTATTTTTTCCCTATAACCAGAAAGATAAAGATGTATGCTATTTAAAACAGTAAACAAAAATGACAATTGTCATTAAAAAAAAATTAAAATGGGTCACAACTCAAAAACGAATGACATAATAAATGTCACTACAATGTCAAAATATAGCATTTAAACAAATAAAATCGAATTGTTCGAGGATTTTTTGAAAAACTACCACTAACAAAGATTGAACAATTGAATAAAATTTAGTCTAATTAGGTTGATTATCAAATTCATAGGCATATTACTATTATTATTTTAGGATCATATCATTAACTTTATTTTATATTTGATTAAATGTGCTTCTTTTGTTTTTTTCTATTAAAATTTGGAACCTTTTAGTAACATTAGTTATGTAGTAAAAAAATAACGTGTACTATACAAAACTGCAGAACTGTTCTAGCCCCACTAAAAATTTTGAGCGCCCTCCTAAAAATTGTTTCTAACTACAGGTTTGTCTCTATCCTTCACATTCTGTACTTTACGAGTGTCAAAGGTTCAATAGAAACAAATTTACTCTGATTATAACTAACAATAGTTTGAATTAGTTCTCTTATTGAAAAACCACCATTAATTTTTTACTCAAAATGAAGAATAATTTAATTACGTAAATAAAAATGTTTGTAAGTATTATTATTATTTTTCCTATATACCTGTCATGCACGATTTTAATTGTTCCACTCAGTTAGACACTTAATTTGATAAATAAAATAAAAACCAGTAATTTGTTGTTTCCTTGTTATTATTAACAAAAAAAAATGTAAAAACTTGTGCACAATTCTGTGGGTAATTCTTGGAGTATTCCACAAATGTGTATAATAAAGAGGTATCAGCACTACTCTTTCAATAAATCATAAAGATAAAAATTTCAATTTCGTATTGCCAAACTCATAGAGGGTAAAAGGGTTGATTATTCTAAACGTAGAGATTACGAGTTATATTTCTCACAAAACATCTTAATTTTTTAAAGTATAAAATTTTTCCCTTTCTGTTTTGTTCTACAAATTTTGTTTGAAGAAAAAAAAAGTCAAAATTCCGTCGAAATCCCCTAAAGAACAAAATAAACAAAAAACGCATTAATTAGTAAACAATTTGCATGCCAAAGCTTCCCAGGCAATTCTACCTGTTCTAATTTATCGCATAGCCTTTTTTGCCAATCGTCTGGTGGTGCTGATTCTGGTATGAACACATAATCGGCCTCGGAAGTGAGTGCGGCTACAATAGCCAAATACCTATAACACATGTCAAATCCAGTAGACAACACCAATTTTAACTTCGCATGCAACCAAATCACCAATCAGTCACAAAGTTAGTTATAAAAACCCACTTACCCGCAATGCCGACCCATGACCTCCATGATAAAAGTTCTCTGATGCGAATAGGCCGTACTGACAATAGCATCGCACGCCTCGATTATCCTATGAAGGGCGCTGTCAGTCCCTATGGTCATATCAGTGCCGCAGAAATCGTTATCAATGGAACCGACAAGACCGGCGATTTGTAGAGTGCGATATTTTTGTTTTTGTTCTTTGGTGATTTGACCTGTAGTGGCCAATTCCTCCAGAAGGGAGCTCCATTCTTGACGGAAGAGGTCAGCACCGGTTAAACTACCATCGCCTCCGATTACCACAAGGTTGGTAATGCCGTTTTCGACGAGGTTTTTCGCAGCTTTGAGACGGCCTGCGCGTTCACGGAAGTCTTTACAACGGGCGCTGCCGATCACGGTGCCCCCTTTGTGGATTATGGAGCTCACGGAGGCCCAGTTGGCCTCAACGATGTATTTACCGCCGTCGACCATGCCCTGGTAGCCCTCCTTTAAAACATTTTTGTTTAATTAGATCAATTAACTAAGAAAAGTGTAATGTTGGTTGCATAAACATCTAGATTTTGTTAATAAATTATTTTACTTTTTATTTCCAATATTACATTAAATAGATTCTTTGAGGTCATTGTAACTCAAATTTATTAAAAAAAAATAAAAATATTCAAAATAAAAGAAAATAAATTCAACAGTGACACGTTGTGTAATGATGGTTGCATAAACATCTTATTTTTTTTCTGTGTATGGCAAACCAGCGTTATTTTAGAATTCTCCAATTGATTCAAATTACTTAATTCGGTAAAAAAAAAACTCAAAGAGTACATGTTTTCGGTGACACCAACCCTATCTTGCCTTATCTCAGATATGACAATTATGGGGCAAAATCCCTAAAAATTGCTTTCTCTTACCTTGATAAAGTAGACTTTGCATCCTAGATAAATCCCCATCCGAACCACAGCCCTAACGGCAGCATTCATGCCCTAAAACCCCACAAAAACATCAAATCGCCTTGATCGTAGACCTAACCTGTGAATCTCCTCCACTAGTAAACACAGCGATCCCTTTGCCCTTATGGGCCCCTCGCCCTACAAACTTATGACCAGCCTGTCCTTCCATCGTGGGTTTTTCAGGTGGAGTCTCTCTATTGTGAAAAGGGAGCTAAAAATTTACAAAAATAATTGAAAACGTACTGTCAAAATGTCAAAAATTTGGTAAAATCGCCGTATTTACCTTCAAGTCATTCACTGGAATTTCTTCACGCGTTTTCAAACTTAGTTTCAAAAAGGTATCAATTTTGATTCAAGGTGACCTCTGCTCTAGTCCAATATTACACAAGTGCGGGGCTGCCATTGGCTGGTTTGAAAGGGACGGGCGTTCCCGCCAATGACACTGTTGTTACGCTGTAAAACAACAGGTGGCACCAAAGTCTTGAAAAAGTGAAGTAAAATAGACGTGTTCTTTGTTTTAAACACTTACTTCTTCTTGTTTTATAAAATCGTGAAATAAATGGTTAGTATATTACAAATTTTAGTGACAATAATTACCAACCTTAACTGACATCTAGTCACAAACAAATGTTAATTGAAACTATTAATTGTTTCCAATGATTTACTGCTTCAAAAAACAGCGGGGTACAAAACCGATTAAAACGCGTTAATTAAGTTTTATTTCTCTTCTAATAAATTTGCATCCTGTACCAATCTCTACAACTTAAAATTACCAGATTTTAAAAATCTTATGTATAGTAGGGTAAAATCTAGAAGTACATATTTGGATAAGAGGACGCGGATCAGTGACGTCCTTTCTCAAATATTGCGGTAACAAACCGAATCTACAAGCCACTGCTTCCAAAAACACCCTTCTTGTTTGAAGTAGCCCGAGACGGGTTGTGGTACACGCCCAATTGTGTACTTATAGCTTTTACCCCACTCTATTAATCCTTGCAATGTTGCCATTTTCGAGACAATAAAACACGAATTTTGTAATAAAATTTATTGGTTTATGTTCAACATTTTATATAATAATATAAAAATATTCTCACAATTTTGTTTATACATTTAGCTTTATAAATAGAGTATATTTACATGATGCAATGTACACGTTGTAAATAGTGTATTTACAAAAACAAATTGATATAAAGTAATGATGTATAGGAGAGAAATGCTCCGCTCATTGAGACCAATCAAAAAATCAACAAAAAATTATAAATATCTCAATCATAATTCATCAACGGCATGATTGATTTTCGTCTGAATATGTTCACTATCACTATTATTAATTTCACTAGTATCCCTGTCTTTGTCTTTGGGTTTAACATCACTGACCACCAACTCGTCATCAGCTTCTTGTAATTTCTTCATGACAGCTCCCAAATGTTCCTTTTTAAACTTGACATCTTTCGCTACACTCTCCAAAATCGAATTTAACGCTTTCAACGTTTCCTTATCCTCCAAATCGCTAAAATCGTCCTTCCCAGCCAACTGACTAAAATCAGTTAAAACCGACAACACCTTGACATTCTCCTCCGGTTTGATCAGCGCATCCTTATTGGCCAACTCAATCGACAATTGATTCAACAACCATTCAGCCTGCTTGACCGTATCTTGCACCCTCTTATCCTCCATCGGATCATCACTCAAAGTCTGGTAATAAATCCTCAAAATATTGAGTGGGACATACAACTCCTTACTCTCGGAGGTCATAATCGATTTGAGCAAATCCTTCCTGACTTGCACCCACTGAGGCGTGGTCACTGTATCCCCCACACTGACTTTCCCCTCCTCCCCCTCTTCGTACGTTATCCGGATTTTATCCGACCCCAAACTGGCTTTAAAACTCCCAACTTTGACCGATTTACTAAACGCAATTCCGGTGTGTTTATTCAAAAACTCCTGGACAGACACTTTCAACTTATGAAACATACTCTCCTCCTCGCTGTGTGCCCAAGTCTCCCCTTCGTTTTTATACTCGCCGATGGTGACCTCAATACTGGGGTCTCGCGACAACGCAAACAACAATTTGGACGCATCCTGGGCAAAAAGAAACACCGTGGGGATGGTCACATCATCGGTGCCATCCCCCGACATGGAGAACATCGGCGAAGTGGCAGCACTACTCCCTGGAGTATTATCAATGATGATGGCGCCCACAGCGCCATGTTTTTGCACTTTTCGTGCCTTATCGACAAACATACAATCACCACGCTCCATAATGGCGATTTTCCCTTTTATCACTTCGGTCTGGACGAGATCAGAGCAGGCGCGGAACGGGTGGATGATCATCGTACGAGCTGTGACCTTTTGCTCACCTTGGAGGTTCCTCCCGAATTGGGAGGGACAGGCCTGAACTGTAAGGATTTGGTCCTTGATGGTGAACGTAACCGATTGGGGGGATGCATCCAATTGTTGGGTTTGCAACTTGGATAACTCCATCATCTCCTGCATGAAGAGAAGACCCTCTTCGGCATCAGCGCTTGAACGGGCCTAAAATCAAACTTTATTTCTCCCTCCCTCTCGAGAAAATTAATTTAACATACCGATGAAAATGTGTGGAGCAGCTGCACGCGTCCATCACTCAACGCGATTATGTTGATCCCCATGTCTTTAATCATCTTCAAATGATTGATATTCGAGGCGGAAAACTCGGTGGCTGTGAGACGTCTCTTCGTATTCCTCTTGGGACACATCCCGTCGACCATATTTTGTAACGGCTTTCGCACCGTCTCGGGGAACAACTGCAAGGTATTGGGGCAAATCCTTGCAAATTCCCCTTCCTCCACATCCAAATCAGTCACTGTTTTATTCCCATTATAACCTGCCAAACTCAACGGTAATAAATGACCCTCCGTTGTAAAAATAAATTCATCCAAATTCAAAATCAAATCTTCTTTATCCGCAAACAACAAATATAAATATTTCAACGTTTCGGACAATACAAAAGAATCCATTCGATCTTCCTGTTTTCGTGTTCGAACATCGTTAACGGCGGCATAACCGCAAGGCACTCGAGCGTACTTTTGTAAACTGTTCAATACAGTTCTGCCAACTTCTAAATAATAAGGATCGTTTGTGGCACCGTATAGGAAGTATGTGGATTCTAAAAATTCGGGTCGGAGGGGATGATTCCCCCAATGGACCTGGAAGTCGGTGGTGAAAGCTTCAGGAATGAAGGTGTGACGTTGCATCACTTGGTAGAGCATTTCATGGGTTTCTACAGCCGGTTTTAGGTCGCCTTTGAGCACCTGGAGTCCCGGCCAGAAGGCGAGGAGGGCGTCCATGTAGTTGCGCGAGTTGGTGTGGGGGCGGTGCATATGCACGTCCAACAGCATTGGACCTGCGATTTAAACAAAATTAAAATCAAAAAATAAAAAAAAACATTTACAATTCAATTACATTCAATTACAAAATTTTCATCAAAAGTACGTCTAATGAGAAAATTTTGGAAAAAAACGTCTCAATTAAACCATTTTTTATATCTTAGTAAAGTTGTGAACAACTGATCGACATACATTTTAAAATAAAGATTTATTCTTGAAAAGGATTTTTTTTTATCAAAAGTAAGTTTAATAACAAAAATTTAGAAAAAATTCGATATTTGTCACCAAAAGCATATTTAATAATTTAAATTTTGAACAAAAAACGTCTAAGTTGATTCATGTTTTTTAACCCTAGTAAAGTTCTGAACAGATCGACATACATTTTGAAAAAATGGCGATTTACTTTGAATTTTTAATAAAAATTTTGAAAAAAATTCGATATTTTTTACCAAAAAAACGTTTAAGAGAAAATTTTAAAAATTGATATTTTTCATCAAAAGTAAGTACATTTAATAATAAAAACGTCTAAGTTGATTCATGT